GCAGCCAACTCTGTGGTTCGAAACTAGTACAGCTTTTCTCAGTATATTCACGTGAGTAACCCGCGATTTTTAGTTAATTACTTCAATACATTATAAACGCTAAAATAAATGTGAAAATGAATTAATTATACACAAAAATATGACCCATAATCACTATTGTAGAAAATACCATCCCAGATTTTTCTAAAAAAAATAACTTAATATTCAGAATCAAAAATAAAACAAGCAGTTTTTGTTCTAAAAAACTAACCTAAAAAATAGGAAAAAAATAAAATTTTATTTAAAAATAATCTTTCAGATACACAGCCTTACATAGTTATAACTACAATTTATTATTATAATTTAAATTATTATTACATTTAAATTAAATATACAGTACAAACATCTATCAATTGTTTCATTAAAATGTAATTTTAATTTCATCAAAGACAATATCAACAAGGCTTTATATCAATCGAGTACTTGCCAACAAGTCAAATTCAATATTTTTTTCATACTGTCAAAAACGACAGTTTTCTATGAATTTTGTACGAGATTGTGTATTTTGACGTCACGTTTTTTAGCGTCAAACAGCATACTTATTTCTTACAAATTTGCTGTAAAAATACTAAAATTAAGTTGGTCATAAAATCAATTAACGAAATTGTGATTATTTTTTATATCTTATTGTATTGAACAGTCGAAATTATTTATTTTCAATGAACGCAAGTACCCAATTAAACCGTACATAGGGAATTTTAAAACGTCAAAAATATGTAAATGAATCTCTCTATTCTTCATTTAAATTTGTATTTCCCGCGCATCGGATTCATACGCTATCTGTGGACAGCAAGCTTGTACTACTCTATGATTTTGTGTATAGGATAGTCCGTCAGTCTGTCAGTGAAGCTAGGATCTCGTCATCATGCGTACAGCCACGTAGGTACTGTCCACATCCTACTAGTTTTTTTTTATAACTAGCATAAGCCGGTAAGCGAGTAGAAAAGTAAGTATAAATATAATATTTGAAAATTTAGCAACCTATTATGACTACGAACCCAGCTATCGACTTTGAAAGCTAAAGAATATAATTTTAAAAGCCGTTTACGAGAAATGCTTGTGTTTAGACATCATCGTTCGCTTGATAAAATTGACGTGTAAAAGTGCTGCCTTGTAGCCTATTTACAGAAATAAATTCACTTGTTTCATTGTTTAAAAAAATATATTATTTGTCTATATTTTTTACTTTTTTCTTTGCAAAAAATATAGATGTTTGTACTATATGCAAAATAAATGATAACGGCTCATTTAACTAATAAAATTTAACTAAAAATAAAATATAAAATAATATTCCACTTACAATTTTAAACATGGTTTTTTTACAAAAATTCAAATTCCAATCTCAATTAACTTAAAAAATAAAAACCATACATCAAGCACGATGGTACTGAAATCCTTACTTACTGAAAATTTTTGAAAAAATAAACAAAATAATTTTGCCCGACTCAGGGATTGAACGAGAGACTCTTTGCATGTAATCACACTACCTACCATTCGCCGTAGTCACATATTACTTTACTATAAACTAAATTTTGACAGCGACTTCCCACGCATTAACTTTACAAATAAAACTTCCTCTTGAATCACTATCTATTAAAAAAACCGCATCAAAATCCGTTGCGTAGTTTTAAAGATCTGAGCATACATAGGAACAGACAGACGGCAACCGACTTTGTTTTATACTATGCAGTGATTTTTATATTTATATTAATGTGATTATCTCAAAAACTACTGAGCAGATTTGAATGTAATTTGGCACAGAGATAGACTATAGTCTGGGAAAACACATGGACTACTTTTTATACTAAAAACGCGGTCGAAACCGCTGACAAAAATTAGTTATAAATTAGTACCAAGATATATTAAAATACTTAAAACTAAATTATACTATGCACAACAATTTGTCCGCAATTTGTAAAAAACATTTGATTTCATAAACCAGTCAATTATTTGGGGCATATTATACAGATAATTTTTTGTTGACTGGACATCTACACTACATGAGCTGCTGTTTACATGTGAACATTAGCTCATGACGATACCTAAGTACGTGTGTCGCCTGGACAGTCAACCTCGCTACATCCTTGTTGACTGGACATCTACACTACATGAGCTGCTGTTTACATGTGAACATTAGCTCATGACGATACCTAAGTACGTGTGTCGCCTGGACAGTCAGCCTCGCTATATCCTTGTTGACTGGACATCTACACTACATGAGCTGCTGTTTACATGTGAACATTAGCTCATGACGATACCTAAGTACGTGTGTCGCCTGGACAGTCAACCTCGCTACATCCTTGTTGACTGGACATCTACACTACATGAGCTGCTGTTTACATGTGAACATTATTTGAGATATTAGGTTATGAAGAATAACTTATATTTTTATTATATTTTGTAGGGAATTATTATTGCTATATTGATCTATAATAAGTGTTTTCCAATGAGCAATATTTTTTACAATATTTTACTACTAATTTATTATCTTCATCAACACACTATAACTGTAAGTACCTACACAGCTAACCAAAGGGCTCTTCTCACACGGAGAAGGTTTGAGCATTAATCACCACGCTTGCTCAATGCGGGTTGGCTATTACAAACTTGTAATTACAAATTATAAGTTCAGTGGCTTACTCTTGAATCCAATTCCGATCGATCGACATTGGTATTGTGAAATTTCGTACTCTTGAGTTGCAACACTAGCGCCCATTGCATCCGTATTGCGTGGATATTGAATGAACTAAATGGTATTGAGTTTGGCTTTATATTCCGTACTCTGAATGCTATTTTAACAGCTACGATTGGGGTTGTATAGTGTTGACATTGAATCATTATTGAGATTTTATTGGATTGAAATTGCATTGACATTGAGATTGGTTTCAAGAGTAAGCACTCTGGTTTCCTCATAATGTTTTGAACGTTTGTAACTAAATCTGTAATCTGCAAAACCCAAGATATAATAGGGTAGATGACTAATTTTTATTTTAATGTCCGTCTGGTAGATTATTTAAAAACATTAGACACGTATTTTTTTACGGAAACGAATAGTTCCGAAGATATATTGATTTGAAATGACGCGTGACGTCACTTCTATGTACATTTTATACGAAGAAATGACACTCCTAAACTTTGATTCGTTTAATCGAAGTATTGTTTTATTATACGACAAAATAAAAAAATACGTGTCTAATATTTTTTCATTACCTAACTGACGGACTAATTAGATTTTTAATTTAATACCCTGTCATCATCTCTATTGCCATATTGGTGAAAAATATTGCCCATTCAAAAGTACATTTAGTACACTTATATTAATTATTATTAAAATAATAATAATCAGCTGATGTATTACATTAATTTCTTGTCTTTTCTTAAGTCTAATCAAAAATGACTGTTTAAGATTATTTTTTACTAGCTACTTTGACGCGGTTCCACTCGCTCTGGTCGGCGCCTATTAATCGTAGCGTGATGTTTTATAGCCTATAGCCTTCCTCGAGAAATGCGGTATCCAACACAGAAAGAATTTTTCAAATCGGATCAGTAGTTACGGAGATTAGCGCGTTCAAACAAACATGAGTCTGATTTGAATAATTATTTTTGTGTTGGATAGCGCATTTATCGAGGATGGCTACAGGCTATAAAACATCACGCTACGACCAATAGGAGCTGAGCAGAGCGTGTGAAACCGCTAGTTTCATATACACTTCACACGGGTCTGGACCCGAAACAACAAATTCATGTGTTGAGCAAATAAATGAAAAAAAATCCTACTTCCTACTAATATTATAAATTTAAGTTAGTAAGGATGTATGTATGTGTGTCTGTTAATACGCAAAAACTACTGAATAGATGTGAATGAAATTTGGCACAGAGATATATTATAGTCTGAAACTAGAAGCCCCCCGCGGCTTCGCACGGGTGCAATATACATGTATTATACATATAAACCTTCCATAAGAATCACTCTATCTATTAAAAAAACCGCATCAAAATCCGTTGCATAGTTTTAAAGATCTAAGCATACATAGGGACAGACAGACGGCGGATAGCGACTTTGTTTTATCTTTTATCTAATAATACGACCGTAGCCACTAGCAAATATTAGTATTTATATAATTCTTTATAATAATATAATAATTTATGAATACCGACTCAACCCCTCTTTTTGAGGTCGGTTTATAGATATAACTGATATAAGTACTAAAACCTTCTCCTAAGTGTAACTAACACTTTTCTGAAAACCGCATCAAAATCAGTTAAGCCAATCGCAAATTATTAGCGAACAAATATACATACATATAGGACAAACAGACGACCTTATTGTTTTTTTTAAAATCGATTCAACTGTCAAATACCGTGCGGTCACCGGTGACCGCAACCTATTGTTCTTTGTGTCTATAATGACTCAGAGTTAAATATAAAACAGTCATTTTTAATTAGACATATATATATATATAATCTATAGTCAATTTTGTAAATCAAAAATATACAAAAACTAACAACAGGGGCGATTCTTTGGAAATATTACATGAAAATTTATTTAAATAAAAAAATACCATCTAAGAATCGCGGTTTACTCACGGTTTTTAGTTAATTTAGTATGTCTCACGATAGCTATTATAAAAAAATATCTTTGCGTATTGTACATTTCACATCATTTCTCAAAGGAATGGAGATAAGTGCACATATTTCATGCAACACGCATTGTAGACCAGTTGAGATATCTCTAACCTGCCTGCCAAGTGCGGAGATAATGTCAATCTTTTGTGGGGGAGGTCCATAGTCTAGTGGGGGTACTGCCATATGTTATCAGTCCCAAAATTATAACTCATCATTTCGAAAATCCTAAAAGAATTACTTTCAAAGAATCATCCCCTAGAAAAAATGGTCCCAACACAAAAAATGACCTATAATTTAACAAAATCTAATCATAATCTGTCAAGCAGTTTTGTAGATCAATGCTTGTGACCCATTGTTAAAAGTAGGGGCATTAGCGCACCTACGGTTAGAATGATCATCTCTGAGAGTAGGAGGCCCCCGAAACCCTTTTTGGGGGCTACCCCCTCCTGCATTGGTAGAAGCGTGTGTGTGTGTGATTGGGGGTGAGTAAGTTCGGGCAATACGTGGACTGTAGCCACGTATAGGAATGTACCAGCTGAGAATAACATTGCTATACCTGAAAAAAAAGGATAATATACAAGTTATATATACAATTTAAAGCGAATAAACAAATAATAACAATAGATGTAGAATACTCTTTTCTTTAAAAAAAAATAAATCTAGTATTTTCTCCTGTGTCGTGAGTGCGTTTACAAACATATAAGTTCACATACACATCACACACAGACCCGAAACAACAATCTGTGGATCACACAAAGTGTTGCTCCGTGCGGGAATCGAACCCGCGACACATTGCGCGGCAGCCCGTTGCCCAACCACCGCGACTACTTGAATAACTAGGAATTAGTTTTAAACTTACCAGTGGCGTTGAAATCGCTAAGCGTCTGTTTGCTCTCATTTCCAATACCGAAGTAGGTAAGCAGAGCTAGTAGCGGAGCTGCGCACGAGAATATCAGCAGATGTCTACGAATTCTATTCCTGTAATCATAAATTGGGTACTTTCGTCAGTCAAAAATAACATAACAATGATGTTTATTTCAGAAAAGACTACTGGGTTGTGTCCAGGGTACCAAAATAAAAAATCTAATTAGTCCGTCGGTTAGATAATGAAAAAAATACTAGACACATATTTTTTTATTTTCTCGTATTAAGTTGCAATACTTAGATAAAATGGCGCTAAGTTTAGGAGTGGGAGGTCGTTACGTCATAACGTTCTACATTTTGTAGCACGCTGTGACGTCACACGACATTTCAAATCAATATATCGTCAAAAGTATCTAATTTTAAGAGAAAAGAAAAAATACGTGTCTAATGTTTTATTAAATTAATGTACCAGACGGACATTAAAATAAAAGTTAGGAAACTACCCTATTTTGTTGTATCCTAGACAATAAATTAGTATTTTATACAATAATAAAAATAGGTGTGGGAGAGCCATGCTTCGGCACAAATGGGCCGGCTCGACCGGAGTGATACCACGGCTGAGCATAAAGCCAACGTGAGAGTGAGGTTACCGCAAGCCCAATTATTTTCAAATGAATAAACATCATGCTACGATCAGTGCTTGTGCAGCAGGAGAAATCGCGTCGGAGTAGCTACTACTTTATAATCTAATTTTCCAGCTAAAATTTAAGAAACAAGGCTCGTAAAAAAATTACGATGCGAATTGCTGCGATGCGATTTCGTGCGACAATGCGTCTCCCAGGGTGACCATTCCTTCGACGACCGTCAACCGTACTAAACGTATTTTAAATTGAAAACTAGGTCGTGACATGGATCGTAAAAAGATTGCTTTATTGAGAGCTTATAAGAGAAGATAAGAAAATTGGTTGCTTTATTCAATCAGAACGAATAACTATCGCAATCGTAACGTAATAGTATCGAGCGCGTTCGGCGCTCTGATTGGCCGGCTCCAGTAAACCAACCAATCAGAGCGCCTAACGCGCTCGATACTATTACGTTACGATTGCGATAGTTATTCGTGCTTGGCACTCTGGTTACGATTACTTTAAACGTAAAACAAATTCGTACTAAGATCTCAGATTTGGGATCGGGATACGTTATTAAAATGGGCAGTAAATCATCTAAACCTGCTTACCTCTCAAGTCCAGCGTGCAGTAAGAACGTGACCAAACCGAATGCCGCAGGCGCCTTATGCAGCATGATAGCAAGGAACACTATAAGTTCCACGTCAGCGTGAGACGTCGTCGCGGCCGCACCTAAAGCTATACCGTCGGCTGTGAAAAAAAAAATTGGTTGCCTGTAAAGTCGGTATACGGGCGAAAGTTTTACGTGACAACGACTTTGAGTGGTAAAATAATTTGCCTATCTCTCTCACTCTCTCTCTCTCGCTCTGTCTCTCTCTCTCGCTCTGTCTCTCTCTCTCGCTCTGTCTCTCTCTCTCTCACTCTGTCTCTCTCGCTCTTAGGCGGGCTAACTGTGCTCGAGTGGAAGGGACGCGTGCCTTTCACTTTTTATGTCTGTCTCTCTCGCTCTTAGGCGGGCTAACCATGCCCGAGTGGAAGGGACGCGTGCCTCTCACTCGCTCTTATTGTGAGCGCATAACGTGAGCGGAGCGTAACGCAGTTTCTTGAAGTGTCACCCGGCAAACCATTTTATAAGACGTTGTCACGTCAAAAATAACTTTATATCAAGTATATCAAGTGGGTGCCCACTGAAAATCAGTCCTGGGTGACTTGTATGCCTGGCTTACACTGAGTGGGTGACCCTTTTAGCATAGGCATGTTGTCAGCGTCTCTCTTCTAATTCTTCTGTTTTAATTTTTCAACTCAATGTTTTTATTACTTCCACTGTGACACCTTTATTGTCTTTTTTATACTTTACTAGCTTTTACCCGCGGCTTCGCTCGCGTCACAAAAGGATAAAAAGTAGCCTATGTGACATATACTAATACACACAGCGCCATCTATACCAATACTTTTGTTTTTCCTCGGGAATATCAATTTTTTCCGGGTTAAAAAGTACCCTATTATTTAATCCGGACTTCTAACTTTACGTCTCCAAAAATTCAAAGCAATCGGTTCAGTAGTTATGGCGTGAAAGTGGAACAAACAAACAAACTCACTTTCCGATTTATAATATTAGTAAGGATTTATGCTGCATGGTGCCTGGTGCTGAATAAATATTTTTCTTCCTTTCTTTACAGTATGTTTTACAAACGGAATATAAGTAAAACGAGAGAAAGCTATCGATACATTGGTTTATTACGTCTTTCTTTTTTTCAAATTCGCGGGCTTAGCTGCGCTCATAGATAATAATCTATCACCACAGACTACACTATGACCATAGAGTATACCACAGATACACAACACTTTGTAAAGTAAAGAAAATTATACAGAAAGGTTTTCTCCGTTCTTCAGCACTAAAGGGTCGGTCAGAGTCGTATTATTTAATTTATTTTATTTTATTTTATTACCTCTCACTTGATTATGATGATATCATCTGAGTGGCACATGATTTAAACAAGTCACATGGCTGCCCACCAAGCTATGTAAAACCAGTAAAAGCTGACCGTCGATTGTCCGGAAAGATCGTACAAAGCGAGGTCACGATAAAGTGGTTTTGTACAGCTTGATATGTCGCCGTTCGTGCTAATAAAAATCAGTTGTAACGTCTAAATTGCTGATAACACGGGACTGATAACAGTGAACTGATTAGGTACACTTTAACAAGTTTTTTAAAACATATTCGACTGGCGTTTTTTTTGATGGGCAAAATTATCCAATGGCTTCTCCCGCCTAGGGTTAGGTGAGAAGGAGTGTTAGACTCTTACTGACTAAAAATCACCCTGTTCCTACTCCTGCTCTTCAAGCCGGAGCCCCGGCAACCGGTTAGGCCTTCCGCGGTTCCGTATCGGCGTCAGCCCTACTTGGCCCCATCTGTGGTGGTCTAATGGCTCTTTGAGGCGCGCGAAACGCGACGCGCCGTACGCCCTGGTTTGGTTCCGGTTGGGCGGCGAGCTACGAGCTACCCTTGACCGCCGTCCGCAGACCCGCACATACGATACGACTGGCTTATTCATTTTAAACCTCTCTTAAGTTTTAAGGAACCTCTAAGCGAAGCGGTATCACTACTTCGAACCGGAGCCCCAGTAACCTGCCAGGTTGTCTACGGCCCCAGGTTAGGGATTAACCCTAGTCACAGATGGGGCCCCCCATCTGTGTCAGGTGTGATCAGGGTGCTTACTCTTGAAACCAATCTCAATGTCAATGCAATTTCAATCCAATAACATTTCAATAATTATTAAATGTCAAAACTATACAACCCCAATCGTAGCTGTTAAAATAGCATTAAGAGTACGGAATATATACAGCCATACTCAATACCATCTATGTCATTCAATATCCACGCAATACAGATGCAATGGGCGCTAGTGTTGAAACTCGAGAGTACGAAATTTCACAATACCAATGGCGATCGATCGGAATTGGATTCAAGAGGAAGCCCTCTGATGGCTAATTTTAGTGTCGATGAAAAAAGTAAAAAAATATAACTTTTACTCACCAGCAGCGTGGACCACGAGCCCGACAGTGGCGGTGACATTCTTCTCCACCGGGTTACTCTGATCATTATACCTTGCAGACATCTGGTCCACCAGCAACATGAACACAAAACCTGGGACCAATACAGCATCATTAACATTCAAGTCAAATCATTCATTTCATCATATCACGCCTTTTATCCCCGAAGGGGTAGGCACGGCACTTAATGCCACTGTACAATGTAACACCCACTTTTCACTATTTGTGTTATGAGTCCCATGTAATAGGGGGTGAGCCTATTGTCATATACCGGGCACAATTCCAGATACCGTGCTACTACTGAGAATTTTCAAAAACCCAGTAATATTTACCCGACATGGGAATCGAACCCGAGACCCTTGCTCAGCAGTCGCGCTCTTGCGACCACTCGGCCTCTCGATAGCGAAAAGTAGGTGTTACATTGTACAGTGGCATTAAGTGCCGTAATGTGCACCTCCGCCTACCCCTTCGGGGATAAAAGGCGTGATATCATGTTATGTAATAAAGCCATCAAATGCTCAGTATTGGGAGTGTTGACAATACGTTTGCCTAAGGAGACTGTGATGACAAATATTTTTATAATATAAACTAGCTACTTCCGCGCGGTTTCACACGCTCTGCTCACCTCCTATTGGTCGTAGCGTGATGTTACATAGCCTATAGCCATCCTCGATAAATGCGCTATCCAACACAAAAAGAATTATTCAAATCGGACTTGTAGTTACGGAGTTTAGCGCGTTCAAACAAACAAAAAAAAAACAAACTCTTCCGCTTTATATATTGGTTGTAGTACACACTGTGTATATAAATGTATTTTGTTTATAGTAAATATATTTAAACAAATGCGATGACGACAGAGCAATTATGAAAATCTTAAGTGTGAGAGAGCCATACTTCGGCACGAATGGGCCGGCTCGACCGGAGTGATACCACGGCCGAGCAGAAAACCGACGTCAAACAAAGTGATGTGAATGTGAGTGAAGTTACTGGAAGCCTGGAAGCCTGGAAGCTTGAAAGCCTGATAGGCCAATCTCCCTCCCATACCCAAATCCCCAAAAGGCCGGCAAAGCACTCTCTTCTCTGTCGTTTCGCTCTTGGCTGAGCTGTCGTGGTCACGTTGAGGCGGCCATATTTGTTTTGGTGGCCGATACAGCTTTCACCACGATCTCCCGCCACCTCTGTGGATTGTCTGGGACAGTCTGGCACTGAGTTTCCTGTCCCCGATTTGACTTTGATCAGTCCAGGGCATAGGTGATCTGCCTCGTGATCTGGTTCCCTCTACTTTCCCTTGAACGACCAGCCGCTTTATGGAGTGGTTATATTTTTTTTATATATATAATTCTTCTGTGAGTGTGTATGTCACTGAACTTCTCTCAAACGACTGGACCGATTTTGATGAATTTTTTTGTGTGTTCAAGGGGATCTGGAATGGTTTAGATTCACAAATCAGCCCGGCAGATGGCGCTGCAGTCGGTTTCTAGGTTATTTATCTATACCTATTATTACAGGACAACGTCTGTCGGGTCCGCTAGTCGTGTTATAAAAACTGATACATAAGAAATGCGCTTACCGAGTACAAGTGATATTCCAATAACGGAATGTAAGTCGTCGTCATGGCTCGGCGGCTCGGCTGTAAAGTCCTTCGTGACTACTGTCGGATGTGATCGTTCACTGAACAAGGAACGGACACCTTCGGGTATGATCACGGCCAGAGCTGTGCCCACAAGGAGGCCGGCTCCAAAAACTGTTACTTTTTGAAGCTTGTCCTGGAACAAGTATATTAATGTTATCATTATCATACACTTTTATTTTCATTTTAAGCCATGCTTCGGCACAAATGGGCCGGCTCGACCGGAGTCATACCACGGCCTCACAGAAAACCGACGCGAAGCAACGCTTGCGTTGCGTTTCGTCGTGTGAGTGAGGTTACCGGAGGCCCAATTACCTTCCCCTTCCCCAATCTCCCCAATCCCTGAGTCCCCAACGATCCTCAAACTCCTAATCCACAATAAGCCGGTGACGCACTTGTAACGCCTATGGTGTTCCAGGTGTCCATGGGCGACGCCGATTGCTTACCATCAAGTGATCCGTCTGCTCGTTTACCGGCTTATGTATGCCATAAAAAAAACACTACCTATCTGCTAGGCTTTAAAAATAACCTATATATTATTCCCGATCGTAATCAACCCTTGTTAAAATTTTATCTTGATCCACAATTTATACGTTCAGGAAACGCTTACGTCAGATTAACGATAGACTCACAAAGGAAGCTGAATTTGACAAAAGCAAATATTTTAATTATTTCATATTTAATCCCACCAAAAACATTCTGTAAAAAACATTCAATGTACAGTTTTGACTTTTTTACGATTTTATTATATATGTATACTTGTATAGATTTATAGATGATGCCTATAGGCTATAAAACATCAGACTACAATCATTAGAAGTTAACCAGTGTATGAAATAGTGCAGGAGTAGCTAAGTCTAAATAGTTATACAAAAATGAATCGCTAAGCACAAATTCCGAGAGCTGTTGACCCGATTTCGCTAATACGATATTTGCTAACTAGTTAAATTCAATACTTTTTTTCAAACTGACTGTCTTCTATGAATGTTGTACGAGATTGTGTATTGTGACGTCACGTTTTTTAGCATCAAACAGCATTTATTTGTTAAAAATTTGCTGGAAAAATACTAAAATGAAGTTGGTCATAAAATCAATTAATTAAAGTGTGATTATTTTTTAATATTTTATTGTATTGAACAGTCGAAATAATTAATTTTTCATTAAGGAAATTACCCTATTATTTTTTGTTTGGTTTGTTATTAACTATGAGGGAGAGGTTTTCATGTGTTTAAGACAAAAAAAATCCAAGGCTAAACTAAATTTGCGGGGCCCACTACTTAATTATAAAACTGAGTGCCTCGTTGGCCGAGTGGTCGCAAGCGCAACTGCCGGGCAAAGGGTCTCAGTTTCGATTCCCTGGAGGGGAAAATTATTTCGCTGGGGTCTCTTAAAAAAATTCTCAGTAGTAGCACAGTCTTCCCGGGATTGTCCGGAATTGTCCCGGGTATATGGCAATAGGCTCACTCCCTATTACATGGGCCTCGTAACATAAATAGTGAATAGTGGGTGTAACATTGTGGCATTAAGTGCCACAATGGGAATAAAAGTCATGATGTTATGTTATGTGTAAAAATCTGTAAGTTATACATTCTATAACAAGCTATAAAACTTGATAAGGCTTTAACACTTATAAAACAGAAATATTAATAGTGTTGCTAACTACGACTGTAACATGAAATTACACATAAAACATACTTTATCTCAATCTAATGTTATCAGTAATAATGCAATAATAATGTATGTTACCAGCTGTTTATTAATTCCTTTAAAATATTTATTACTAGCTTTTAACCGCGGCTTTTAAAAGGATAAAAAGTAGCCTATGTGACATATACTGATACACACAGCGCCATCTATACCAATACTTTTGTTTTCCCTCGGGAATATCAATTTTTCCGGGATAAAAAGTACCCTATTATAGACATAATAATGTAGACAGAGAAGATTATTGTCTGTAAACACACTAGATTAAGAACATTTTGTATGTCTGTACAGACACAATGTGGCGCACTACCATAATATTATCTACCATCTATTGTAACATACCTACATTGACGAAATAAACAATATTTGTATTTGTATTTATTTAATCCAGATTTCTAACTTTACATCTGCAAAAATTCAATGCAATCGGTTTAGAAGTTACGGCGTGAAATCGGTACAAACAAACAAACTCACTTTCCCATTTATAATATTAGTAAGGACTAGTAAGGATGAGCTCTATCCAGCACCTTGGCCTGCATTCTCGTAGAGTAGAAAGTAGCCTATGTGTTATACCACGCCATAATCTACCCCGTGTTCCAACCCGATCATTTCAGCCATATTCACATGAAGGAGTTACAATTAAACAAACGTTCGCACTTGTAATATTAGTTTCTAATAATTTAACATAGGTATTTAAAACATATCATGCTAATATTATAAATACGTGTTTGAAACTTACTGAACTATTACGCAAACACTATTGAACTGATTTCAATGTAATTTGACACAGAGATAAATTATTATAGTAAGGAATAGCGCTTATTCTCTGTTTCTTTTTGCAGTTAATAAAGTAAGCTAATAAACAGTCTAAACACGACATAAAAGGGTTATAAAAAAATGATACTTCCGCAAAATAGTTATTACAAAGTGGAGCGAAACGTAGAACACAGCTGGTCGACATTATTAGTCGAATTTAACCATTAAAGAGGTTGTATACGGAAAAATAAGCTCACCTCAGACATGGTCACGTTCAAAGGTATACTTCCAGCAACATAGGATCCCACCAGCATCACCAGAGCAAGCAAAATAAGGACCCAAGTTCCATCCATTTTAGCAAAATATATTTTTACAATATACAACTTATATGTACGATTAACACTGAATATATGACTTGGAAAATGTACTTATTCGTTATCGCATGTTTAATTTACATGGTCCGGTTGATTAATAAAACCGTTTACTGTTAATTTCATTTATAAAATATCTTTTTACATACACAATTTTGGATTGTATTGAACAATTTCTTTTGACAACACGACAAATGTTTTTTTTTATTCATGTCGTAGATGTAGTATTAGTCTTTTAAGACGTAACACCAATGACATCGACGCTTGTTGTAATGTTGTTTCATACAATTTCATCTTCCTTGCATAAAATAATTAATCAATAAAATAATAATTGAAATATTAAACTTCAATGTGTATGAAATTATTCATGAATTAGTTTATTATTTATGAAATAAGCATGTAATTTTATTTTTTTTTTACTAACTTAGCTTGAGTTTGGACTGAAGTTGAACATGTCGAAGACCAAACTAATGACCAGCAGCATGAAATATAGTTTGACGTAGATGGCGCACAAATGGAATACGTCCAAAATATATCTGTCTGGGCCAACTAGTTTCTTTCCAGGCGAGACAAAATAGAAAAGTTGCTATACGCACTGAAAACGCCTGGAAGATCTATTGGTCTATGAACGACTTAATGAAAGGTAATCTTCAATTAGCGCTCAAAAAGAAACTCATGGACGTGTGCCCATCCTCACTTAAACTGTCATACACCAAGCGGTCACCGGTGACCGCGACCTATTGTTCTTTAATTGTGTCTATAAAACCGGTACTCGACGAGTTAAAGTGCTCATGCTTAGCGTCCTTGACACAACATCAGAAATCCAAACTCAAGGTTTGCCAGCGGACTATGCAGCGCAGTATCTTAAGAGTTCGACTATCGAACAGAATTAGGAACACCACGCAGCGTTCTACAACTATAATCGTTCACGTAGGTCATAAACCCGCAAGCTAAAAGTGGAACTGGGCTGGTGATTTTAATATTATCATAACATTGATAGGGTTACTATGACACCAGTAATAGATGCCCTGTAATAATCAACAAAGTAAAGATTTTGATTTTGAAACAAAAGTTTTGTAAAATAATTCTGAGATTTTAAGAACCCCTATACTTACTATATACTTTACTAGCTTCTGCCCGCGACTTCGTACGCGCAATCCCGTTCTTTCCCGTTCCCGTTCGTGATTTTTGGAGAAAAGTAAAAAAAAAATCGATGAAAAAGTATCCTATGTCCGTCTCCTGGTTCTAATCTACCTCCCTGCCAATTGTCATCTAAATCAATGTAGCCGTTCTAGAGTTATAAGTAGTGTAACTAACACAACTTTCTTTTATATATATAGATAAGAACCCCTATACTCTTTGATTCTAAGGAGTTGCGGCTTTTTTCAAAAATTCCCGCCTATTCGGCTACAAATAGAATGATTCTGCTTCTCTGATTATTTGTGGTTTGAACGCATAAAGTTTTTATTATTATACCCGTTAAGACAGGCCTCAATCGTTGAAAAAAAAAATCAAAACCCATTAAAACCTCGATGAAAAAAAAATAAAAAAAAAATTTAATGGCATCCGGTTTTTTTGACCAATGGTAGCCAATACAATTTTAAAATCCAAAAAGGCTTCATTAATGTGTACCTGACTCATGAAAAGAAAGGAATGTTTTTATATTATAATATACCTAATACAAGTCTTTTCTTAAAATTAATATCACAGCCTATAGCTATTATGGACTCTATCTATGAGGCACTAGAACTGGTTGCGTTCTTTACAATAGAAAACGTACAAATTATTTTTTTCTATATGTCAACACTCGATGAACATAGACAATTATGTGATGAACTGTCAAAAAGTGACAGCTACTGGATGTTGTCTATGGATTTTCATTTTAGGCGCACGCGGAAGTGGACATTCGAGCGATTTCCTTTTCCTAAAATTTCAAAACTTATCAAAAGTTTTCAATAAATTAGTGCTCTGTGATTGTTTATTATAGTTTTTCATATTATTTTACTGGTGTCTTGAGTTATTGTGATCGAAAATGGAGGTTACCGATCTAAACGATTTGCTTAATGTACGATCTATCAAAATGGAACAAGGAGATTCAGCATTTGATGAGAATACAGTCGAAAGTTCTGATCCTCTATCTATAATACCTCAGTACGTCACTGAATCAGACCTAGGTAAGCTGAAATTAGTTTATTTGTGTACTAAAACAACAAATGTACACAAAATTGGGTAAAGTTTCGTAACGAGAACCTCAATTTTGTTGTTCTCGAATGTTTTTGTATTAGTTTGTTGTTTTATTCGTGTTTTTATTTAATTTGAAATAATCTGAACATAATTATATTTAATAATAATAAAACTAAATAAATATAAATTTCATATTGGTAGACAGAGACACCTTTCGATTTTCACGACGTTCGGTTTAAAAATAAATCTCTATCTCATAAAATAAATGATACATTACAGGTCTAATGCAAGCTGGTGGGGAGATACTGCAGACTCCCCTAGCGGTTTTCTCCGATACTCCTGACGAAGATGACACTATGCAGAGTACGGAGAGCAGTGGTAAGGTTTCACTTATGACTAATTAAGTAATACCAGTTTTTACTAGTAGTGTACAGCTGGGGTCTAATTTAAAATGTCTGTTTTAGGGCAGGAAAAGTTTTTATTTTAATAGATGCACAGAAAAAACCTAGTATTCAATAAAATACACACATGAATAGCCTATCATTGGCTACTGCTGACCGAATGCCTCTTCTAGCATGGAAAATGTTTGAGCAATAAAGGGTCTCGGCATTTAAGCTGAGCTCTGGCCTTTTCGCACCGTCTTCACTGTTTAATTTTTTGCGTGTTATTGTACTTTGTGACGGTGGGCAAATAAACCATTTTTCTTTCTTTCTTTCCTTAATCACCACAATTACAAACTTATAGAAATTATAAGCCCAGGTTTACTCACAATGTTTTCGTTCACTATTTGTTCAAATAATCTTAAAAATACATTATAAGTTAAAAAAAATCACATTGGTGCTTTCTATTGGTAGGTTTCGAACCTGCAATACATATTAAATGTCATGAAAAATGGGAGTTTTGAACCTCAAGGCCCTGAGGATGTATATATAATATTATATAATCCATTCTCATAACACTATTAGTTCATGTAGCATGCTCACATAGCATGCCAATTCAGCGTAATAATCCTATGTGACAAAATACAGGAAACCATATTATTAATTAAACGTCACATAGTCACATAAGGTATTTAGTGCTGAAATAGGACATTACAAGGGCCATTCAAGTGTGGAAGAGCCATACTTCGGCACAAATGGGCCGGCTCGACTGGAGTGATACCACAGTCTCACAGAAAACCGATGTGAAACAATGCCTGCATTGTGTTTCGTCGTGTGAGTTAGGTTACTGCAGACCCAATTACCCCCCTTCCCAGTCTCCCTGAATATATCCCTAAATATGGAGTTTCTTGCTCGTTCTTCTCCATTCGAATCAACATTTTGGAATAAGCACCTAGTTTCACCTAGCTTCATTGACGGACTGACTGATAGACTATTATTTATTTTGTAGTTATTGACGTTTCAAAAGTACCAAATTATGGTTTAATTGAAATTATTGCCTTTGGCTTTGATTTCCCACATTCCCGAATCTGCCATTTCTAAAATTCCCCCACTGTGTACAAATATAATAAAGATTATGTGTGTCTTCCTTTCAGATGAGGTGATAGTCCAGTTGATGGACATCAGAACTAATTTGTCTCGTCTCCGAGCCATGTTAGAACGAAGACTAGGATGTGATCTCTCTGATTACACGTTTTGGCTGCAAAATGCTAAAATGGTGAGTTCTTCACTATCTTTATATATATATTATTCTGCTGTGCATGTGTATTTCATTGAACTCCTCCTAAACGGCTTGACCGATTTCAAATAATATTCTGTATGCCTTTGAGTGGCGCCCTGGATGGTTTAGATTCACAAATCAGCCCGGCAGATGGCGCTGCAGTCGGTGTCTAGGTTATTTAAAACTTAATATCTTGTAATATCGTAATAATATGCAGGACAACGTCTGTCGGGTCCGCTAGTATAGTATAAAACAAAATCCCTATGTATGCTTTTAGATCTTTAAAACTACGCAACGGATTTTGATGCGATTTTTTTAAATAGATAGAGTGATTCTTAAGGAAGTTTTATATGTGTAATACATGCATACTGCACCCGTGTGAAGCCGGGGCGGGTCGCTAGTCGCGTATAAACTTCACATATTACGTGATCTAGGGTTTAGGGAAGTTATCTGTTGGTAACTATATTGCAGATTGTGTTTGTTTGTTTGTCTGATCGCGCTATCATCTATTGCTATTGAATAAATCTTATTGCGTTGGATAGTCCTTTTTTTTATATATATAATACCAAGCAACCTACCACGGTTTATCGAAGCAGTACAAAGGCATATTGAATATCACCGTATTGAGTAATTGTGTCTATATGGTTATAATATGGGGAGTTCCTAAACGATATCTCGAGGCTGGTGATGGCACAGAGGGACCGCGTAGGCGGAGGAAATTATTTGCTATGCCACCAGGCGTACGCACAAAGCGAGGTGCTGCAGCACCAACGGCAAGAGCGATGGGTCTCATGAACTCGATGATAGCTCAGCACCCAGAATTAGATGTGTTCCACGATAAATCGTATGTCATACGGAAATTAATGTATAAGTTTTTAAATATAAATCTCAATAATATAGGAATAGGAACTATCTAAGTGATTAATATTGTAATAGGTTTAAGTTTCTTTTTTGTATCCTAGAATGTAAGTATTTTGGCTCTTGCTGTAAACTTTCATTTTAATGTAAATAAATAAATAAATAAATAATATGTATGTCATACTGAGAGTATGTAACTCTTATAAGTCCAAAAATTAAGGTAAAATTTTTATTAATTAAGTTACATGTTGGACTTAAATGTGTCAGGAAATGTGATATTGCATTGGAATAAACTGTAAGATGTCATATTGTAAGGTGTTGTAATAAATCCTTACTTCCTTACTAATATTATAAATCGGAAAGTGAGTTTGTTTGTTTGTTTGTTCCGCTTTCACGCCGTAACTACTAAACCGATTGCTTTGAATTTTTACAGACGTAAAGATAGAAGTCCGGATTAAATAATAGGGTACTTTTTATCCCGGAAAAATGTGATATTTCCGAAGGAAAACAAAAGTATTGGTATAGATGGCGCTGTGTGTATTGGTATATGTCACATAGGCTACTTTTTATCCTTTTGTGACGCGAGCGAAGCCGCGGGTAAAAGCTAGTAAATAAATAAAATAAATAAATTTTATCGAGGAAGGCTAGGCATCATGCTACGACCAATAGGAACCGAACAATGAGCTCGTCAAAAATACATGTGTTTATTGATTTCAGTTGGAAAACCACAAAACCTTAGTTGAGCAGTGTATTAGAGGAGAAGGTGTTGTACAAGTGAACATTCAGATCAGATCTGCTGAGAGGAAGATAAATATCCTGGATGTGTTGAAACCTGACGAGGAGCTGGTCCAGTTGCCAAACCAGATGGATGATGATTGTAAGTCTTCTGTCATTAATTTTGTCTTGTTTTATATTAGTAATTAGGTACATAGATTTATTTTTAGGCCTAAACAATTGCAGTGGAGGAAACTGTAATGATAGTTTTAACTCGTCGAGTACCGTATTTATAGACACAATTAAAGAACAATAGGTTGCGGTCACCGGTGACCGCTTGGTGTTTGACAGTTTAAGCAAGGTTTTAAATAAGTGTGGGAGAGCCATGCTTCAGCACGAATGGGCCGGCTCGACCGGAGTGTGAGTGTGGTAACCGGAGGCCCAATTAGGAGGGGGGCCTCCCTAGTCCCCGTCTCCCGAATCCCCGAATCCTCCACAATCCTCAAATTCCCAATTCCCAAAAGGGCGGTGACGCACTTGTAATGCCTTGGTGTTTCGAGTGTCCATGGGCGACGTCGATTGCTTACCATCAGGTGATACGTCTGCTCCTTTACCAGCTTATCCCATAAAAGAAAGATATATTGTAGTTCATCAGTTTTTACATGCATTGCCATGTATGTGCCATGCTAAACTTTAAGATTTTTTATTTTTTTATTTTAGTAAGTTATTAGTATAATGCGTCAAGCGTGTCTTTGGATTGTTCTTACATATGTATCAGAGACATTGTAGAACATACTTTTTTAAAAAAGAGTAACGAATGGAGTTTCTTTCTCGTTCTTCTCCATTCGAATATACTTTTTGGAATGAGCACCTACGTTCACCTAGTTTCACTGACGGACTGACTGACAGACTATTATTTATTTTGTATATGTTGACGTTTCAAAAGTACCAAACTATGGTTTAATTGAAATAAATGCTTTGACTTTGACTTTTATTAGTTGGGCTCTGTGAATCTCTGAAATCTTTACCCAAGGGTCTGATGATGACAATAATGGTTTGTTCACAGTATTGGAATTCGAAGAGCCCTTGGCTGCTTCCAGTCGGACTGAGGAAGTATCAGAACCTGTGTCACATGCGGCGGCGGTCAAGTGGGTAGTGGATGCACAGTTTAAAAGTGAACACCGGGTTCGAGTGCCGGACGACCCCGCTGAATGGTTAGTATATACTTCTGTTCTAGAATGAAAAGCACTTAATCATACATCAGACATCAGTCTATAAGTGCCCGCAGCTGCTGACCAAAAAGTAGTAGGTTTTAATGATGAAATAATGAAGGCATTAATCACCTCGCTTGTTAAATGCGGGTTGGCACTTAATAATTTTTTGAAAATCAATCTTTTGATTTGATAATTTGACTTTGTTTGTTCATGAATATGAGCCCCTTGTGTACCTTGAAACTAGTCGAGTTTCTCATCAAACAGTTACGTGAGTAAGTTACATTAATTTAGTACTTACGTCACACGAAACTTATCTTACTATCTTACTTTTTACTATCCTTATCCTTATCCTTACTAATATTATAAATCGGATAGTGAGTTTGTTTGTTTGTTTGTTCCGCTTTCACGCCGTAACTACTAAACCGATTGCTTTGAATTTTTGCAGACGTAAAGTTCGAAGTCCGGATTAAATAATAGGGTACTTTTTATCCCGGAAAAATTTGATATTCCCGAGGGTAAACAAAAGTATTGGTATAGATGGCGCTGTGTGTATTGGTATATATTACATAGGCTACTTTTTACCCTATTGTGACGCGAGCGAAGCCGCGGGTAAAAGCTAGTAATATTATAAATGCGATAGTTTGCGAGTTTTAGTGTATGTTTGTTGGCCGAGTGTTCGCAAGTGCGATTGCCGGGCAAGGGGTCTCGGGTTCGATTCCCGGGTCGGGCAAAGTAATACTGGGATTTTTTTTAAATTCTAAGTTGTAGCACGGAGTCTGGAATTGTGTCCAGTTTATGGCAATAGACTCACCCCCTATAACATGAGACTCATAACATAAATAGTGAAAAGTGGGTGTTACATTGTACAGTAGCATTAAGTGCCGTAATGTGCATCTCTACATACCCCTTCGGGGGTAAAAGGCTTGATGTTGTGTTGTGTGTATGTTTGTTACTCAACCGTATCGAAACGGCTGTAGGGATCAGGATTGAATTTGGAACGGGGGTAGATTATGTCCTGGAATAGGTCCTGGAGGCCTCCTTAGCGGAGGCGGATGCGGAGACGATGAGTTTTGCCCCACACTAGGATTTTCTCCTGTGTCGTGGGTGCGTTTACAAACTTACAAGTTCACATACACATGACACCCAGACCCGGAACAATAATTTGTGGATCACACAAAGTGTTGCTCCGTGCGGGAATCGAACCCGCGAAATGTTACACGGTAGCCGGTTGCCCAGCCACCGTACCAACCGTGCAGTCAAATTGATCATTTGAATCTTATACATAGCTTAAGCTATGTGTTATTTTGGTTTTTTATTATGTGTTATTTTAGAACAAATTTAAACTAATTCCTAAGAAGCCATGTGCAAAATATGATAAGAATCCGCGCTTAAACATTTCAAAGATCTAGCAAAACCAAAAACGTTACCCCAGCAGAATCTCGAATAACTTCACAACCGATGAAAGAACAAATACAAAATAACACAATGGCACAACATTTACTTCATCTAGACAACTAAATTTATAGCTAATAATTATTTAAATATTCCCATTAGAATGAAAAAGGTCTGGCTGGGGTAACGTTACCCCAGCAGGATATGTTTTTGTGGAATAATAAAAAAAACTATAAGCGCAATAAATTTAAAAATGTGCGCAACAATTACAGAAGCCGCACAACTAATTATCTATAAGATTCAAATGATCATTTTCGACAACATCTGGCCTGGGTAACGCACACGGTTACCGGAGGCGGAGGCGGAGGGGAAAGTAGATTTAGTAAAATATTAATTTCTGTCTGTATGTATACATACATTGATAGCTTTAATTACTTATTTAATTAACTAGTATTCAAAATTAAGAAGAGGCAAATTCTATTTGATATACAAGAGTTTAGCGGCTTTGTCACCTTCCAGACGATTTCTGAGGGGATCATAAATTAAGCCAGCTGAAATAATTAATTGTTGTTGTTGGCCGGACGGTTGGTTCATCGTCAAGCATCGCTTGCGTCAAGGAGGCGGAGGCGGATGCTGAGGCGAAGTTTCGTTACAACCCAAAGTAGTAGTAGTATATCATAGGATACTTTTTGTACTACGGGAACGCGGGCCAAGCCGCTAGAGAAGCTGGAATATTTAAGTGTTTGTTTCCTAAACCATTGATAAAATATCCACAGGTCGGTTCAGCATGTGAAACTATGGATTCAGTGGGCCGTCCGCCAATTCAATCTGATTGGTATCAAACTGTCTGACTGGAATATATCCGGCGAAGAGTTGTGCGCTATCAACAATGTAGAATTCAAGTGAGTATTAAATTATCAATCGGGTACTTTTTTTCTCTTTTATAGCAAATGAGTCTCCAAAATGATCTTGTCGACTGCACTGCCATTGTCGAGTGAAATCGGGTACTTGCCAACTAGTCAAATTCAATACTTTTCTCGAACTGTCAAAAATGAGAGTTTTCTATGAATTTTGTACGAGATTATGTATTGTAACGTCACGATTTCTTAACGCCAAACAGCATACCTATTTCGTAAAAATTTGCTGAAAAAATACTAAAATTAAGGTGGTTATAAAATCAACTAATGATAGTGTGATTATTTTTTAATATTTTATTGTATGTAAATATAAGTAAAACAAACAGATCTTAACTTAACTTCTATTTACCTATTTATTTAATAAACCAAAAAAGAACAACGACCGCAACAATCAGCTCGAAGCCATATTTTAATATTACCAACTTAACAAAATATTGCCAACCTAACAATAGTATTGCCAACCTTTTATATATAATATTACATTGTTACCAACAGTATTGAAAAGTTGAAATAATTTATTTTTGAGTAAGGAAAGTACCGAATTTCTAGTTGTTGCCCGCGACTTCGTGTTAGAATATGATGCCTTTTTTATCCCATCCCATGAGACCATTTAATAGATAATAGTATCCTACAAATTACGAGTTTGAACTCAGGAAACCTTCTTCTTGAATCACTATCTATTAAAAAACCACATCAAAATCCGTTGCGTAGTTTTAAAGATCTGAGCATACATAGGGACAGATAGCGGAAACTGTCTATGTTTTATACAACATAGTGTTTTTTTTTTTCAGAGAAAAAGTACCATCGGACCCGGGGGATATATTTTGGACACATTTTGAATTGCTGAGGAAATGTAAATTTATTGGTAAGTCATATAACAATATTTTTTATCGTAAATGAGCAGACGTATCACCTGATGGTAAGCTATCGACGTCGCCCGTGGACACCTGGACCACTTGAGGTGTTACAATGCTTTGCCTGCGTTAGTCAATTACTGTCTATACGTCTGCTCGGCTATGTCGTAAAATAAAACGAAATTGGATGATATTTCTTTTATTCAGGTCGACATGTACCGAACTATGTAACAAAATCTAAGAATCTGAATTACACACACTTCTAACTGTTGTATCATCATTAAACTTGGTAATTGTACGTAGATTAGATCGAGCTGATTTGATTGCCTCGTTGGCTGAATGGTCGCAAGTGCGACTGCTTGGCAAGGAGTCTCGGGTTCGATTCCCGGGTCGGGCAAAGTATTACTTGTTTTTTTTTTATAAAAAATCTCTGTAGTACCTCGGTAATTGGAATTGTGCCGAGTATATGGCAATAGGCTCACCCCCTATTACATGGGACACATAACATAAATAGTGACAAGTGGGTGTTACATTATACAGTGGCAGGAAGTGGCGTAATGTGCACCTCTGCCTACCCCTTCGGGGATAAAGGCGTGATGGTATATGTCGAGCTGGTTGGATGATGGAATTGGAAGGTGGCTGATGGAACCTTGGATGCTAGAACATATCGAGTTTGTGCTCATTAGTATGCCCATTTTTGCTGATGACGAGGACATGTGATTAAAACCTTGTTTAATCATGAATTTATTTGCAGCTGTGATTCAAAATGATGAGCAGACGGTGAAAGATCCTCTAGAAGTTCCACAATCTGCTATAAAGAAGAAACCAAAACAGGTAAATAACATAATATTATAGATTGTGGTGGCCTGGAGGTGACGCAAGTGTGCGTTACCCAGGCCAGGTGTTGTCGAAAATGGTTATTTGAATCTTATAGATAATTAGTTGTGCGGCTTCTGTAATTGTTGCGCACATTTTTAAATTTGTTGCGCTTATAGTTTTTTAATTATTTCACAAAAACATTTCCTGCTGGGGTAACGTTACCCCAGCTAGACCTTTTTCTTTCCAATGGCAATATTTAAATAATTAATTACTGTTAACAAAATTAGTTGTCTAGGTGAAGTAAATGTTCTGCCTTATTTTGTATTTGTTTTTTCATCGGTTGCGAAGTTATTTGAGATTTTGCTGGGGTAACGTTTTTGGTTTTGCTACATCTTTGAAATGGTTAAGCGGATTCTTATTATATTTTGTACATGGCTTCTTAGGAATTAGTTTAAATTTGTTCTGCAATAAAAAAGCAAAGTAATACATAGCTTAAAGGTTATATAATTATTTAAATATTCCCATTAGAAAGAAAAATGTCTGGCTGGGGTAAAGATAACCCAGCAGGAAATGTTTATTGTGAAATAATTAAAAAACTATAAGTGCAACAAATTTAAAAATGTGCGCAACAATTACAGAAGCCGCACAACTAATTATCTATAAGATTCAAATGACCATTTTCGAAAACATCTAGCCTGGGTAACACACACGTGACGCAACGATAAGTACCAATGTGACTTTTCCCGAGTTATATGTACTTTCTAAGATTATTTAGACACCACTGACAAACGGTGAAGGAAAACATCTTGAGGAAACCTGGGCTTATAATATCTAATTGTAAGTTTGTAATCGCCAGCCCGCATTGAGCAACCGCGGTGATTAATGCTCAAACCTTCTCCGTGTGAAAAGAGACCTTTGGTCAGAATCGGCCAATTATAGGCTATTGATGGTGATAACATCACGTTTTTTTTGTACACACAGCCACACATCAATATATACCAAACCAGTTTATCCTGGTGTCGCGTCGCATCATCTTTCCGCACATTTAACGTTCAGTTTATACTGGTTATGTAAAGCTCGATGTGTAGCCGTGTGTACAGTGCTAAGCGGGTCAAATTACCCGAATATTTTTTGATAATAACTATCGTGGTACATTCTAAATTAGGTACAAAAATCGCGGGTTACTCACTTGACAATACTGATAAAAGCTCTGCTAATTTCGAGCCACACAGGGGTTCTTCCTCATGAGCAGAGTGCGCGAAAACTAGTAGAGCTTTTCTTAGTATTTTTACGTGAGTAACCCGCGAGTTTTTAGTTAATTTTTAATTTAATGATGTTTATGATTGACTTCGACAGGTGGTGATCAGACCATCAGAGGACGACTGGTCATCATACGTGACGTCTCGAAACGGCAATAACGGTCAGATCCAGTTGTGGCAGTTCTTGTTAGAATTACTAACAAGCGCGGAGTACTATGATGTCATCAGATGGCATGGTAAGCATCTATGTCTATTATTAATAAAATAATAAAATCGTAGAAAAGTCAAAACTGTACGATGAATATATTTTTAAAAGAATACTTCGGGCGTGATCTACAGTCGATACCGAAGCCATAAATATGGTTTATAAAATTTTTGTATGTTTGTCTGTATGTATGTCCGTCTCATCATTTACTTCAAAGTTTGTAAGATTATTAGTATTACTAACGTGTCAGGTCAACATATAGGCTACATATTATCACACTATCACCTACAGAGTATGCGCAGTAAATCCCTATTTCACGCGAACGAAGTCACGGGCTCAACTAATATAGAGATATTATTATAATCTAACTCACAAACAAACTATATATATATTAGTACTAACTACTTCTGCGCGGTTTTACCCTCTCTGCTCGACTCCTATTGATAGTAGCGTGATGTTCTATAGACTATACCCTCCCTCGATAAATACACTATCCAATACAAAAAGAGTTATTCAATTCGGACCAGTAGTTCCATAGATTAGTGCGTTGAAGCAAATAGACAAATTCTTCAGCTTTATATATTAGACCGAATATAATAGATCGCCTCATTGGCCGAGTGGTAGCAAGTGTGACTGCCGGGCAAGGGGTCTTGGGTTCGATTCGGGAACCGGGTTTTAAAAAAAATCTCGGTAGTAGCACGGAGTCTGGAATTGTGCCCGGTATATGGCAATAGGCTCACCCCCTATCACATGGGATGATGGGACTCATAACATAAATAGTGAAAAGTGGGTGTTACATTCTATAGTAACATATTGTGCACGTCTGCCTACCCCATCGGGGATAGAAGGCATGATGTTATGTAAATATTTTAGATAATTATAGATCTATTACTTGTTTTCTGTCGCGGAGAACCTAACGGGTAACCGCGGCTCCGGCTCGACGTGCAGGAGAAGGAACGGGGTGGTTTTTAGTCAGTAAGAGTCTGACACTCCCTCCTGCCTCACCCAGGCGGGAGCAGTCATTCGATGACACTTAAAAAAAAATTACTTGTTTTCAGGTACTGAAGGCGAGTTTAAGTTGTTGGAGCCTGAGAGAGTGGCCACGCTATGGGGCGCTAGGAAACACAAGCCGGCTATGAATTATGAGAAATTGTCGAGAGCTCTAAGATACTACTATGACGGTGATATGATCGCTAAAGTTTCAGGGAAGAGGTAAGGCAATACTTTTTACACAATATGCGTATGAACTTGCTTTTGTCCGCGGCTGCGCTCGCGCTCTTATAGATTTAGTAAAAAAAATAATGCATTATTTTTGTTTGCGTTACCCAGGCCAGATGTTGTCGAAAATGGTCATTTGACTCTTATAGATGATTAGTTGTGCGGCTTCTGTAATTCTTGCGCACATTTTTAAATTTGTTGCGCTCATAGTTTTTAATTATTTCACAAAAACATTTCCTGCTGGGGTAACGTTACCCCAACCAGCCCTTTTTCTTTCTAATGGGAATATTTAAATAATTACTAGCTATAAAGTTAGTTGTCTAGATGAAGTAAATGTTGTGCCTTATTTTGTATTTGTTCTTTCATCAGTTGCGAAGTTATTCGATATTCTGCTGGGGTAACGTTTTTGGCTTTGCTAGATCTATGAAATGGTTAAGCTTAATGGTTAAGTTCTTATCATATTTTGTACATGGCTTCTTAGGAATTAGTTGAAATTTGTCATGCAATAAAACAACCAAAATTATACATAGCGCAAAGGTTATTTCATTAAATAGAAAAACACTTCAATCGCTATTCAAAGGATTTAGTGTAGGCAGGGCACAAAACAAACAAAGTATTAAATACCACCCATTTAATACTAACTGTAAATTCCCTTTTTTCAATCAAAATGTTCGAAATTACCACTAAAAATCTTTAAGCTTAACTGTTTTACTGAATGACTATATTTTAACTAAAAGTATATCTAATAATTCTTCGACTGCAACAAAATCTTAACCTAACCTAACCCATAAGGCCATAATCTTAAGAACATAAAATGTAAACTAAAGGAATATTACATAAGTGTTATTTAGGATTTTGTGTTTGTTTATCCAAGGTTGTTTATATTGTTGTCGTTAACGTATATACCTCTATTTGTAAAACCTTATTTTATAAAAATTCGATTTCGAGATTGATTTATGATAGCAAAGTTTAACCTTAGTGGATTTTGGTTGCTATTTTAAATGGATAATCCTGTACTTTTTGTAAATACGATAAATATATAAATAAATAAAAAAAGTCGTGAAAAAAAAACAAAATCTAACCTAACCTAACCTGTATTCAACAATTAGTGTGTAAATCAGTATTTTTGTTTTACGGTTCATTTTTTTGATATGCAGTATATAATAGTGGTTATTAGTGGAGAAATTTGTATTGCTTAAATTTTTAAATAGAGGTGCAGTAAAAAATTCGGCCATAACAAATGCATAAACAAATAAGAAAATAAATATCAGTCAGTGGCTAGAATGCAGGGAAGTGGGCACTCACCCACAAAAGGCAAAATAGATAATGAATGACGGAATGAACGTGCGTGAGAGAGGCAAAATTGCGAGAATGAATGGATATAGTGCATAAAAAAGAACATGACTAGATTTTAACAAATACATGTTTGTTTTCACAGATTTGTATATAAGTTCGTCTGCGATCTCCGTCAGCTACTTGGCTACGGCGCGGGGGAGCTGGCAGAGTTAGTTAAGGAAGTTCACGACACGGAAATGCAAAATGGTAATCCAAATTTTACGGACAAATACAGAATGTATGACTTAGAGGAGACCAGTTTACACACAGATAGAAAGTAGTACATATTTTTTATGTTTAATGGTTTTAATGAGCTCTATTCTAGCAATCAAGTCCTCTCATTTGATAGCCATAATGGAGGTGGAAAAAAATTAGATTATATTGTATTGTCATCAAGATTAACCCGTCGAGCGTCCGCATGCAAGTAAATGCATTTATTTGGCCATTGGCACACGAAAACAAGCATCGTTACAATAGAAATAAAACAAATAGTCAAAATAAAAACAAAACATTAATAATAGATTTTATAAAAGAGAAAGCAGCATGGAGCATTTTTTCTTATGATCCACCGGGTGCTCGAGAACGCTTGAGAGGTTAAGAGTGTGTACCAAATATCAGATCGATCTGTCGTCAGGAAGGGGGTGAAATTTCAATTACTAAATTTGATTCAAATAAATGTAAGGGGCAAGCTAAATGAAACCGTTTAAGAATATAATAATGCTGCAAGAACACCAGTTTTAGTACTGAAGTATATTAGTGTGGGAGAGTCATGCTTCGCCACGAATGGACCGGCTCGACCAAGTGATGCCACGGCCGAGCAGAAAACCGACGTGAAACAACGCAAGCGTTGTGTTTCGTCGTGTGAGTGAGGTTACCAGATGCCCAATACCCCCTCTCCTCAATCTTTTCAATCCCTAATTTGTTTTAATCCTCAAGTTTTTAACCCTCAAAATACCGGCTACGGACTTGGAACTCCGTAAGTGTTGCGTGTTTTAATGGACGGCGCTGATTGCTTACCATCAGGTGATCCGTCTGTTAGCTTCTGCTAACTGCTTCGTCCCCGTGAGATAAAAAGTACCCTATGTGTTATTCCAGATGGTAATCTACCCTTGTTCCAAATTAAATCCTCATCCCTTCATCTGTTTTGATGGGATTGAGTAACATACATACGCACAAATATAAACTTCTACATACAAAGTCAAAGCATTTATTGCTATTAATCCTTATTTAGGCACTTTTGAAACGAATTTATTATATTAGCAAGATAAAATGGACAAAAGTATACGAACAAACAAATTTCTCCTATATATATATATCATTCTGTTCATTTGTCTATATGACCTGGACTTTGTTCTAGTCCTGATTCTGGCACTCATGATTATTACCGACTTTACCAAATCATAATATTGTTTTATCCTCGATGGGATAGGCAGAGGTGCATGCCCTCTTTTCACTATTTATTGTATGAGTCCCATGTAATAGGGGGTGAGCCTATTGCCATATACCGAGCACAATTCGAGGCTGCGTGCTACTACTGAAATTAAAAAAAAAATCCAGACAAAAATTTTCCCCGACCCGGGAATCGAACCCGAGACCCTTGCCCAACAGTCGCACTTTCGACCACTCGGTCAACTTCACCAAAAACCTCTTAAACCATTTTTTTTTCTTCTCTCTCTAATAATATCTTCTGATTCATTTCGTTGCGGGAACCAAGACAGTTGTTCATGTCCCTGGGACGCGCCGGACTTCAATGTTCCGGTGTTTTCATGGTTGTATCTACTGTGGATCCTTGTGCACAGGAGTTGCAGCGGTTTTGTTTTGTGGCCGGCTTGCCCCTAAACGATCTCTTTAACTAAGAGTTACTTAGCGTGCAGTACCTAAAGTCTTAATTGTATTCTTTACTCTTAGGCGTCACTTATACCTAAGTTTGTGTAAACAAAGGAGTTCATGTTTTGTTATTTTTATATACATATGTAAAGTATCAACAAATGTTAAATGTGCCAGTTTGTTGATTTATGTACAGTAGTTTGGTATCGGATTTTCGATTCGTAACATGATTAAATTAAAAACAATGGATTGTCTTAAAAAAGTACATATATGTAAATAAATTGGTTTAAGAAATAAATTTCCGTTCGTTAGTCTCGCTAAAACTCGAGAACGTCTGAACCGATTTAGCTAATTATGGACTTAAAATTTTCGTGGAACTCCACCAACTCCGTGGAAGGTTTAAAGTGTGAGAAAAGACTTTTTTGGCGGTGCGAAGTTCGCCGGGTCAGCTAGTAATTCGTATTATTAATATTATTATTAAATAGAAGGTTGCAATCACCTTGTGTAAAGTTTTTTACCATTTTAATAACATGTGGGTTAAGTATCGAAAATCCGATCCCTAACTCAAAATAATTGAAAAAGTGATATTGTAAATACATTTGTAAGTAGATGTAAGTTATTTGTAAAAATAAAGTTTATTGATTTTTGTTATTGCGAGTTGTTTTTATTTCAACATCGTTTACTGATAAGAGTGAAGCTTCACTTGTCCGTTGCGCGACATAACGAAACGACGCATTGTTTTCATTTCTTTACATAACATAACTACGCCTTTTATCCCGAATAGGTAGGTAGAGGTGCACATTACGGCACTTAATGCCACTGTACAATGTAACACCCACATTTCACTATTTATGTTACGAGTCCCATGTAATAGGGGGTGAACCTATTGCCATATACCGGGCACAATTCCAGACTCCGACTACTACTGAGATTTTTTTTAAATCTGGGTGTGCGTTACCCAGGCCAGATGTTGTCCAAAATGATCATTTGAATCTTATAGATAATTAGTTGTGCGGCTTCTGTAATTGTTGCGCACATTTTTAAATTTGTTGTGCTTATAGTTTTTTAATTATTCCACAAAAACATTTCCTGCTGGGGTAACGTTACCCCAGCGAGACCTTTTTCTTTCTAATGGGAATATTTAAATAATTACTAGCTATAAAATTAGTTGTCTAGATGAAGTAAATGTTGTGCCTTATTTTGTATTTGTTCTTTCATCGGTTGCGAAGTTATTCGAGATTTCGCTGGGGTAACGTTTTTGGTTTTGCTAGATCTTTGAAATGGTTAACAGATTCTTATCATATTTTGTACATGGCTTCTTAGGGGTAACGTTACTCCAGCAGGAAATGTTTTTGTGAAATAATTAAAAAACTTTAAGCGCAACCAAATTAAAAATGTGCGCAACAATTACAGAAGTCGCACAACTATATTGTTTCTATACAAATTTACACAACCTTACCGATTCTCCTGATATACTGCAATGCGTGGCTATTCATGTCGCGACATGGGACTCAACTCATAACTAAATAGCGAAAACTGGGTGTTAAATTGTACAGTGGTATTAAGTGCCGTAATGTGCACCTCTGCCTACCCCTTCGGGGCCAAAAAGCGTAATGTTATGACAGGAAAATAAACTACATTAACACTTGATATTTATTTATTATTTATGTACACACATACAATACAGCACAATACATATATAAAAACAGAGTACATAGGCCATATTAATACCTAATATTCAGTACAATTTAAAAAAAAAAACTAACAATTGAAACATTGACAATAACATAAGAAACTGATTAACATGCACTTAAATAATGTTTCCTTAGGGATATATTTAATTTGGACACCATGGCGTCGCATCCAGTCGCCGCTACAAACAAAATATACAAGCTGGTTGCGCAGCCAAGTAGATACCAGATGACTAACTCTATAGTGCTGTAAGTATAGGTACATTTTATTTATAGCGGCAACTGGCTACGCCGCTATAGAGTTCCGATAAAAATAGATTACTATACTCGGAATTTTAATTCAATTCCAGATTTGACAATTTCAGTGTTGCAACGTTTGTCATAGACAAGTACTAAATAGTGACGTTGCGAAATTATTCGATATGGAAATGCAATGTTTCTGGATCGATTTTTCTCGTTTAGGTATAATTATACTCTCGTAAACTAAGTATATCAGGAAATTAATATTTCTGAACCGATAATTTAGTTTTGATGATTAATTAACGATCTGAGACTTTTCTTTTATAATTATGTGTGAAATAAATAAAAAAATATAATCATGAAGGAATATGACAATTAAAACAGATAGATGTATTATGGTAAATAAGTTATTTTATAAATCGTCACCGTCATCGCTATCGCTATCCTGTCACTTTCTGTAACATTTATTATAAAACACACACACTGATTGTTTATCGATTTTTGTGTGCATCACTACACTATTATATGTGGTATCATTATTTCACAAAATGACAGTAGCCATTGACAAATCTGGAATCTAATTAAAATTCTGATTACAGATAAAATATGTAACGGAACTCTATAGAGCTGTATACATTTTATTTATAGCGGCAACTGGCTACGCCGCCATAGAGTTCCGATAAAAATAGATTACTCAATAAAATATGTAACAATGGAGGTTTTTAAACATAACTATTTACAAATAACAGATTCCAGCATAAATTATGTGTATGGTACATTATTTTTTGTTCTGTACCTAATTCAGGGCCATATATCTCTACGCGACCATATATCCAAACACCACTTTAACGCTTGTCTACAGAGAGAGTAGAAAACTAAATGTATGGGGATGACACTGACAAGTGTCAAAATTTACGTCAATTCCATATAATTTAGTTTTCTACTCTACAAGTAGACAAGCGCTAATGGCATTTGGCTACAGCTGCAGATTACAGAGACTGAACGCTTGTGCCCAACGGCCCATAAAGTGCAAAAAGTTTTTTTTTTTTAAGGGCGAAAATCCTCGAATGACTGCTCCCGCCTGGGTGAGGCGGAAGGGAGTGTCAGACTCTTACTGACTAAAAACCACCCCGTTCCTTCTCCTGCACGTCGAGCCGGAGCCCCGGTTACCCGTTAGGTTCTCCGCGACTCCGAATCGGCATCGGCCCTATTGGGCCCCATCTGTGGTGGTTGCAAAAATAGTTAGAGGCGCCTACAAGGTGCTTGCCTAAGGGTGCTCTGAGACTTTAGTACGATGTTTATTTTACGTTTATTAAAGTAATCGTAACGAGTACGCTTTCGGCACTCCGAGGGCCAAGCACGAATAACTATCGCATTCGTATCGTAACAGTATCGAGTGAGTGAAGCGTTCTGATTGGTTGGTTCACTTCAGCCGGCCAATCAGAGCGACGAACGCGCTCGATACTATTACGTTACGAATGCGATAGTTATTCGTGCTTGGCACTCTGATTGGTTGCTTTATTGGTGCCGGCCAATCAGAGCGTCGCACGCGTACTCGTTTCGAATACTTTAAACGTAAATGAAAATCGTACTAAAGCCTCTTTAGGCTTAAGCCGCTCTTGACCTTTTTTTTTAAGGGGGGAAAATCATCGAATGGCTGCTCCCACCTGGGTGAGGCGGGAGGGAGTGTCAGACCCTTACTGACTAAAAACCACCCCGTTCCTTCTCCTGCACGTCGAGCCGGAGCCCCGGTTACCCGTTAGGTTCTCCGCGACTCCGCTCTTGACCTATTTAGTTGCGGTGGTTTACCCCGGTGTTCATTCAGTACTCCAACTATTTCAGCATATGGCGATTCATTGGTTTGAACTGGTACTCGATGATCATTCCTTGGTTTTAGTGCCAATTCTGCATACAGGACCTTTTCAGTGGTGCCCTGTAAAGATTTAGGATAATATTATTGTAACAAGTAATATTATCCACTTAAAAAATCTATTTTTTATGTCAAAAGGTTTCAATGAGCGCTATTCTACCAATCAAGCGCTTTCATTTAATATCCATAATGACGGTGGTTGTGGAAAAAGAATATAGATTATATTGTACTAGCTTTTACCCGCGGCTTCGCTCGCGTCACAAAAGGATAAAAAGTAGCCTACGTGATATATACCAATAGACACAGCACAGCGCCATCTATACCAATACTTTTGTTTTGCCTCGGGAATATTTATATTTTTCCGGAAAAAAGTACTCTATAATTTAATCCGGACTTCGAACTTTACGTCTGCAAAAATTCAAAGCAATCGGTTTAGTAGTTATTGCGTGAAAACGGAACAAACAAACAAACAACATACTCACTTTCCGATTTATTATATTAGTAAGGATGTCAGACATCGTGAACCTTTACATATCAACGTTTAATTTTTCTAAAGAACTATTTATTGACGTCTTATATGTGCTATCAAAACAATAATTAATTATTGTTAGTAGCTAGCTCAGCAGAATTCATGTAGAATTTGAGTTATTTGTGTAACTGAATAATCAACCGATATTCAGGTCTGAAAAAAACCGTACATAGGGCAGATTTTGTGATCACGTGCCAAAATATTGTGTTTGATGGTAGCGTGCCAATGGCTCATCATCCTGTTGTATGTCATCAAGATTAAGAGTGTGCACCAAACACAGGGAGCTTACTCTTGAATCCAATTCCGATCGATCGACATTGGTATTGTGAAATTTCGTACTCTTGAGTTGTAACACTAGCGCCTATTACATCCGTATTGTGTGCATATTGAATGGACTAAACGGTATTGAGTTTGTCTTTATATTCCGTACTCTGAATGCTATTTTAACAGCTACGATAGGGGTTGTATAGATTTGACATTTATTAATTGTTGAGATTTCATTGGATTGAAATTGTATTGACATTGAGATTGGTTTCAAGAGTAAGCACCCAGATCGATCTGTCGTCATAAAGGGATGAAATACCAATTAAATTTGACCCAAACAAACATACGGGGGCAAGCTAAATAAAACCGTTGAAACAAATCTACTTACATAAGTCTCTAATTGAAGCATTTGCTGCGATTCTCGAGGATTCCGTCGTTTTTTGAAACGTAAAGCAATTATTAGAAGTAGAATGATGACAATTAGTAATGTCGGTAGGACTATATAAAGTCCTAGATTGCTTGTAGTACTCTCTACTTCGTCCTGATTATCGGACACTGGTTCCACAGGCGATGTTGTCGTGATCGGAGTAACTGTTAAAACAATATAAGAAATAGGTATTTAAAACATAAGTTATCGTCACCACTGCTAGACAAAGGCCTCCCCCTTGGTCCTCCACGTCGAACGACGTCTCGCCACTTGCATCCACTGGCTCCCCCAACTCTGGCGATGTCGTCGGTCCATCTAGCGGGAGGCCTGCCTTTTTTTTAAGGGGGAAAATCATCGAATGACTACTCCCGCCTGGGTGAGGCGGGAGGGAGTGTCAGACTCTTACTGACTAAAAGCCATCCCGTTCCTTCTCCTGTACGTCGAGCCGGAGCCCCGGTTAGGTTCTCCGCGACTCCGAGGTTCTCCGCGACTCAGAGCGGGAGGCCTGCCTACGCTTCATGTTTCGGTTCGTGGTCTCTACTCAAGGACTTTCCTGGCCCATCTGCCGTCAGACCGTCAAGCGACGTGGCCTGCCCATTGCCACTTCAGTCTACAGATTTTGCGAGCTATGTCGGTAACTCTAGTTCTTTGGCATATTTCCATAAAATAAGGAATAAGAATTAACATAAAAATTATGTTTTATGTCGAACGGTTTTAATGAGCTCTATAAATTCTAATCAATCTTTTTCGCTTCATCAATATCAGTCTTTTCATGAAAGCTCGTCGGTTAAGGGTACTTTTAATTTGGCCCTTCTTTAATAGGTATATTGCTAATCTGAAGCGAAAGAGGTATATACCTAAGCATCGTAGCAATGGGCGTTCCATAGTCTCTCCCTACCCCTATGGTAGACAGGTGACAGGATACTCTACTAGTAAAACTACCTTTATTGCCCTCAGTTGTGACTGTCTCGTTGACCGAGTGGTCGCAAGTGCGACGAGCAAGGGGTTTCGAGTTCGATTCCCGGGTCGGGTAAAGTATTACTGGGGTTTAAAAAAATTCTCAGTAGTAGCACGGAGTCTGGAATTATTTCCGGTATAAGGCAATGGGCTCACCTCCTATTACATGGGACTCATAACATAAATAGTGAAAAGTGTACATTGTACAAGGCATTAAGTGCCGTAATGTACACCTCTGCCTAACCCGTCGGGGTTAAAAGGCGTGGCCTGTTATGTTATGGAAAAAATAGATAATATTGTATGGTCATCAAGATTAAGAGTATACCAAATATCTGAATTTTACAATTCAATTGCCGCTTACATTATTTCGTTGGTTATAATTATAATTTATTTTATTTTACCTGGATCGCTTGTTTGGATATTTACAAGTAGCGAAATATTTTTGATTTCCCTTATCAAATAAGCGCCGGCACTTTCGAAGTAAATACAGCAAGCTCTGTAGGATATATCAGAATGGTTCTTGATATAAAAAGATGTCGAATTTTGTCGCTCAATTATTTCTTCCTTGTGGTAGATTAAACCCACATATGCGTCTGAAAATTGTATAGTATAAGTTTTTATAATCAATCAATCAATTTATTTATTCAGACTAGTAGCCCGTCCCGGCTACGCACGGGGTAGACAATTATTTATTTTGGAAATTTGGATTGTTGTAGTGACATAACTACAATAGTTGGACATATGTTACCGCGGAGTTTTTTGTAGACATTATGATGTTCTTCAATACTGTTGTACATTATTTTGTTCTATCGCTAATAGTTTTGGCAGCGCATTCGACGAAAGACATTTTAAGACTCATTTTTCTACACCTTCGGTTACATTGTTCAAATTTTACCAAGGAACCCTAATTTTTTTCAAAATGAAATGTAGTCTATGTCGAATTGGAAGAATGTAGCATTCTATTGGTGAAATAATTTTTTAAATCGGTCCAGTACTTTTTGAGCCTATTCATTACAAACATACAAAATAGGTACAAATCTTTCCTCTTTATAATATTAGTATAGAAATAGATAATATATCTGGCCTGGGTGACGGACACAAAAATAAAACAAAAGCGTTAATTGAATTTCATGTTGATTTCTACGACAAAAATAAAAAAAAATACGTATCTAATATTTTTACATCACTTTTTACTTCACATCCTATCAACATCCCCATTTAGTGTGTCTCACGATAATTTTGTAAAATACAAATGTAATACTTACTCGTTGAGCAGTTGACCTTGATCTCTTCAGATTTGGAGAAGGATATAACTTCACTTATCCCCTCAGCTCTTAACGTATCTGAAATATATATATATTATATATCTATATATATAAAAGAAAGTCGTGTTAGTTACACTATTTATAACTCAAGAATGGCTAAATCGATTCGGATGAAAATTGGTGGGGAGGTAGCTTAGAACCAGGAGACGGACATAGGATACTTTTTACCCAATTATTTTTTTTTTAATTTTTACCGAAAATCAAGAACGGGAACGGGAAACATCGGTATTGCGCGTACGAAGTCGCGGGCAGAAGCTAGTAATTATATAAAAGAAAGTCGTGTTAGTTACCTACACCACTTATAACTCAAGAACGGCAGAATAGATTTGGCTGAAAATTGATAGGGATGTAGCTTAGAGCCAGGAGACCGACATAGAATACTTTTTAACCAATACTTTTTTTTACATTTTACCGAAAATCACAAACTGGGACGGGAAAAAATGGGATTACGCGTACGAAGTCGCGGGCAGAAGCTAGTATAACTATAAAAACGTTATACCTACATCACAAAATGACTGCCTAATTGGTCGAGTGGTCGCAAGTACGACTGCCGGGCAAGGGGTCTCGGGTTCGGTTCCTGGGTCGGGTAAAGTGTTACTGGGTTTTTAAAAATCTCAGCAGTAGCACGGAGTCTGGAATTGTGCCTGGTATATGGCAATAGGCTCACCCCCTATTCTGTTACATGGGACTCTTAATATAAATAGTGAAAAGTGGGTGTTACATTGTACAGTGGCAATAAATGCCGTAGTGCACGTCTGCCTACCCCTTCGGGAATAAAAGGCGTGATAATATTATGTATGTTATAAATCACACTAATATTGTAAATGTGTTGTGGATGGTATTATGGAGTTTCTTGCTCGTTCTTCTCCACTCGAATCGACATTTTGGAACGAGCGCCTAGCTTCACTGACGGACAGACTCACAGACTATTATTTATTTCATATTTGTTGACGTTTCAAAAGTACCAAATTATGGTTTAATTGAAATTAATGCTTTTGAGTTTGAGTTTGTGTAAATTTCTTCGTTTAGATGTTTGCCCGTCAATGACGCTGAAACTACTGAACGGATTTTGATGAAATTTGGTAAAGAGGCAGAGTATAAGCTGACTTAGGTGATAGGGAGTTTTTATCCCGATTAAAAGCTTTCATGGAAAAAGAGTAACTTATGGAGTTTCTTGCTCGTTCTTCTCCATAGGAATCTACACCTTGGAATGAGCAAATAGCTTCACTTTTAAATTTCTATTGCTGACGTTCGAAAGTGCTTGCCTGGTCTAATTGAAATAAATGATTTTTGACTTTGACTTTGATAAAACAGCCATTATGTTCTACGCGGACCAAGTCGCGGGCAACAGTTAGTAATTTATCTCGATGGCTTTCATTTCAAAATGTACCCGGTCCTTGTGTTTGTTTGTTCACCACATCAAAACGACTGAAGAAATCGGAAAGAAATTTGGAACACGGGTAGATTCCTTTTTTTTCGCCCGGGGTAAATGCCGTGCATACCCGTCTTCGCGAGGCCGGTTTATGTGGGGCTCGAACCCTCTAAAAACCCCGGGGTGTGCCACTCGCGCATGAGGACTGACCACGAGAACTGTACTTTCACACTGCGTTCGTGACAACAGGGGTAGGTTCCTAACCTAATCTAAACCTAACCTATTATATCATTGGTAATTCAGGAGTGACACATAGGCTAATTTTTTATCACATGGTAACGCGGGCGAAGCTACAGGCAGAAGCTAGGTAAGATAAAAACTTACTGTATTGTACTGATTCAGTTTTACCCCCTGGTATTCTTATCGTAAATGTCTTAGGAATTGGGTTGTTATTATTATTAGTGTGTTTCGTGATCTCCTGTGAATTTTCTTCGCATATTATTATTGTATTATTATCAAATTTATAAATAAGCATCTTCAGAATCGATGATTTCGTTTGAAACGACCATATTTTCTGATATTTTGTACCAATTTCGTCGTCTGAAAGGTAATTGTTAGTTAAAATATCTGGCATGTCATTCTATTATAAGATTAGTTTTTTTCAGCTTAGAGCCCATACTTAATTGGGTAGTTTCCAGGGTATCAAAATTAAAAATCTAATAAATCCGTCAGTTAGATAATGAAAAAATATTAGACACGTATTTTTTATTTTCTCGTATTAAGTTGCAATACTTAGATAAAATGGCGCTAAGTTTAGGAGTGGGATGTTGTTACGTCATAACATAACGTGCTACAAAATGTGACACGCTGTGACGTCACGCGATATTTCAAATTAATACATCGTCGAAAGTATTTAATTTTGTGAGAAAAGAAAAAATACGTGTCTAAAGCTTTAAATTATTGTACATACCAGACGGGCATTAAAATAAAATTTAGGAAACTACTCTTTTGTTTCATTGTTTGTCTCTCCTCTGTGTTGGGCGGCGCTGATTGCTTACCATCAGGTGCTCCGATTACTCGACCGGAGTGATATCTCAGCCTCACAGAAAACCGACGTGAAACAACGCTTGTGTTGTGTGCTATGCAACCGTATGAAGGAGGTCATTGAAGACCCAATTCGTGCCCTCCCCAACCTCTTCAATCCAAACCCAATCCTCCCTCACTGTTCCTTCCTCTCTAGTGTTGCGAATGTCCATGTGCGGCGCCAATTGCTTTCCATCATCATAATCAACAGCCGAAAGACGTCCACTGCTGGATAAAGGCCCTTAGCCCTCCACGTCGAACGACAACTCGCCACCCGCATCCACTGGCTCCCCCCAACTCTGGCGATGTCGTCGGTCCACCTAGCGGGAGACCTGCCCACGCTTCGTCTTCCGGTCCATGGTCTCCACTCAAGGACTTTCCTGGCCCATCTGCCGTCAGTCCGTCGACCGAAGTGGCCTACCCATGCCCATTGCCACTTCAGTCTCCAGATTTTGCGAGCTATGTCGATAACTATAGTTCTTCGGCGAATTTCCATATTTCCAAGAAAACCCGAGCATAGCTCTCTTCATCGCGCGCTGAGCGACTTTGAGCTGCTCGCAACTTTAAACTATCCATCAGATGAAAAAATTGTTGGTACTTACTTTTAGCAGTAAATTGTGACCATTTGTAGTTGTGTAATGAATGAATATTTTGAGTTTCCATGCACTTACAGTGCAAAGTATAGCCTGCTTCCATTGTGCACATTGGTTTTACTGAAACTGTAATGTAAGCTCAATTAACACCGCCGAGGAATGGAATGAACCTGGCTTCTACACCGTCGCAGACACACGATTTAAATAGTCAAAAATGGAACGCACATTTTCCGCGGAATCCTCGCGAAATCTCTAGAATTATCTGGTTTTTAATTATGAGTGCGACACAGTTGATATATAGTTAATTATGCTATGTGCAGCTTCGTCGCAAAAATTTTCTTCCATTCCATTCCGCGGCGGTGTAAATTGAGCAAATCCTTGTTTACCGAATAACAATTTTAGTATACAATTGGGTAGTTTCAATGGTGTCAAAATTAAAAATCTAATTAGTCCGTCGGTTAGATAATGAAAATATTAGACACGTATTTTTGCAATACTTAGATAAAATGGTGCTAAGTTTAGGAGCGGTAGGTGGTTACGTCATAACGTGCTACAAAATGTGACACGCTGTGACGTCACACGATATTTCTTACACAGAGAAGAAATGAGCATTAATCTCCATGTAATAGACCTTAGACCTACTGACCACGTTACGTCATTTGTCGAATGCATGCATTCGACAAAAGGCGGCCTACAAATGACAAATGCTTACATTTTGCTTAGAAAAATAAAAACTGTCCACGAAGCGGCCACGTTAAATCCGCCCATCGTCATTTGACGGTTTCTTGCATTCGTCACGTAACGCGTCGTAGACGTACGATTACCGTGGTAGAATGTATTTCGGCAAGAATTGTCTTTTTTTTTTTTTTTTAAACAAATTTATTCCTTTCAATTTTACAAAGGTATGGCCTTATATCTAATCTCGCCAAACTTTGACGTTTGATGGCGAGAGACGCTCGTTGTACAAACAATATTAATAACATCATAACATTTTTGCTTAACATATAGGTACACTATAACCCAAGCATGACATAGCAAGTATTTACATATATTTAATAAAAAAAACACTTCTGAGACAATAACAAGCAATTTTTACTAAAACCCCTGAGTAATTAAAGCCTGATTAATTTGAGCCTGAGTAATTAAAGTCTGATGTGACCGAAGTGATACCACGACCTCAGAGAATATCGGCTTGAAACAACAAATGTGTTGTATCCCACCCCTTTTTTTTAAAACGTTGCCCCACACTAGGATTATCTCATGTGTCGTGGGTGCGTTTACATACATACAAGTTCACATACACAATGACACCCAGACCCGAAACAACAATTTGTGGATCACACAAAGTGTTGTTCCTTGCGGGAATCGAACCGCGACACGTTTGTACGGCAGCCGGTTGCTCAGCCACCGCATCAACCGTGCAGTCGATGCACTCCAATGCACCAATGCCTTAACTAAAATCCCCAAAAGGCACAGCACTCGTAACTCCTCTGGTGTTCCAGGCGTCCATGGGCGGCGCTAATTGCTTACCATCAGGTGATCCGTCAGCTCGTTTGCAGACTTGTTCCACAAAGCAAATACTGCCGAGAACCTCAAACAGCGAAAGTATAATAGCCTGATTGGCAATTATGCTTTCGAACCGTTTGGGGTTGAAACTTTAGAGCCGTGGGGCCCAAGTGCACATCTTCTTTACAAAGATATTGTAAGGAGGATGGTTGACACTTCAGGTGATCGAAGGGCTGGCTACTACCTTGGGCAAAGGTTAAGCATTGCCATTCAACGTGGCAATGCTGCCAGTATTTCGGGCACCCTGCCTTACGGTAGCGATGAGGAAAATGTTTTCTTTGATGCCTTATGATTTATTTTTTTTTTTTTAAGGTGTAAATATTTTAGTTTTAAATTATTTTTTTTATATTTTAAGTTGTATATATTAATAGTCGCAAAGTAGTATTATTTATGTTAGTTTACATATTTAAAACTATGAAATATATTAAGGATTAATTGAAAAATAAATAAATAAAAAGAACAATTACAAATTCATATTAAAAAAAGCAAATACTTACTCATTTCTTGCGTGGGTTTGTCACGTATATGTGTAAATTGATTGACTATTCTTTCTATGCCCAATCCGTCGTCCTTATTATAAATTTTTAACTGGACACAACAAGCATATCTGTTGAGTGGTTCACTCTGCCTACTCCAACTTACAATGTTATTTGCGTAAATCGTCAACTTTGAACCGTTGTCATACAAAACGCCGACTTTGCTGTTATCTGTGAATTTAAAACACATCCTTACTAATATTATAGAGGTAAATCGGAAAGTGAGTTTGTTTGTTTGTTCCACTTTCACGCCGTAACTACTAAACCGATTGCTTTGATTTTTTGCAGACGTGAAGTTAGAAGTCTGGATTAAATAATAGGCTACTTTATCCCGGAAAAATTTTATATTCTCGAAAGAAAACGAAATTATTGGTATAGATGGCGCTGTGTGTATTGGTATAGGTATCATATAGGCTACTTTTTATCCTTTTGTGACGCGAGCGAAGCAGCGGGTAAAAGCTAGTAAGTAATACACAATGCCAATAGGTATGATTTTTAACGAATGGTGATATATATTAAAGAAGGGCCAAGAGTGTGGGAGCTATACTTCGGCATGAATGGCCGGCTCGACCGGAGTGATACCACGGCCTCACAGAAGACCGACGTGAAACAATGTTGTGTTGTGTTTCGTCATGTGAGTGAGGTCACTGGATACCCAATTACCTCCCCCCCCCCTACCTTTCCCCAATCCCTGAATCCCCAACAATCCTGAAATCCCTAATTCCAAAAGGCCGGTAAAGCACTTGTAACGCCTCTGGTGTTCCAGGTGTCCATGGGGCGACGCCGATTGCTTACCATCAGGTGATCCGTCCGCTCGTTTACCGGCTTATCCCTTAAAAAAAAGTACCCTTAACTGACGAGCATGCATGAAAAGATTGATAACTGTTGATGAAATAAAAGAGGTATGTTATAGTAATCGTAGCAATATTCGCGGTGAGGTTATGTATATGTATGGGTATTAACATGTTTTAAGTAATTGTGATCATTTCGCCACTCGTAAACTATGCTGGAGTTTGGTGTCCTGTGGCCGGCGGCTGTTTCTTTGTGGGTACGCGTCGGAATGAATCAGAGCTCAGCAGAGTTGTCACTAAAACTGTCTTTGTTTGACAATCAAAAATGTGAAATAACCCCCAATTAATTAAAAAAAAAAGAGTAAACGTCAAAAGAGACTAACTCTTATAATTGCTTTTTTACATTTGTGTTTATATGTTATACATGTACTATCGGTTATATATGTTATTCTATTCTCAATTTTTCACACACACACACACACACACACACACATATTCAGCTAAATTTATATTATTTATACAACTGCATGTTTATTTTTTGTCTTCATTGAGGGGCGGCACCGCCGTCCGTGAGTCACTGCAGGGTGCCACCTGAAAACCAGCGTTGGGCACAAACGTCCAACTTTATGCTGAGGTGGAGGCCCTTTTGGCATTAGCACGCGCAAATTAAAATTAATATTATTATTTTGTTTATTAGATTTTTTTTTTTTTATTGTTTATTAAAAATTCTGTATGTATTGTATGTATTCTGTAGATGTATTTTTATTTTTTTATATTCTTTGTTTTCTGTGCGTGTAATTGCCAAATAAATGATTTTTCTTTCTTTCTTTCTTTCTTTCTTTCTTTTAACTATGCAGTAATTTTTTAAGTACATCTTTTTTGTCAAAATCGCTGCTGCTAATAGCTGGAACAAATTTGACCAGTCGTTTTGCGGTATATCAGTATATTTTTCGATCGATTTAAATATATTACAAAAATGTCTTATGCACTTTGTAATTACGCTGGTGTTGCGGGTACCCATTAACAGCGCCGATTGCTTACCATGAGGTATGAGGGTCTTCCATGAAAAATATGCGTAACAAAATTTAATGAATCTTACCATCTCTACAGGTAAATGTGTAGGTAATAATTTTCTTATCAATATACAATGTCTCAAGCTCGTAATCCTCTGTAAGAAATGTTCATAATAATATTAAACAAGCCCCGCCAGGTGAGACTCCTAATTTTGCGTAAAGACTGTAAAAGTGTGGGAGAGTCATGCTTCGGCATGAATGGGCCGGCTCCACCGGAGTGATACCACGGCCTCACAGAAAACCGACGTGAAGCAACACTTGCGTTGTGTTTCGTCGTGTGAGTGAGGTTACCGGAGGCCCAATTACCCTCCCCTTCCTCAATCTCCCCAATCCCTGAATCCCCAACAGTCCTCAAACTCCTAATCCCCAAAAGGCCGGTAACGCACTTGTAACGCCTCTGGTGTTCCGGTTGTCCATGGGCGACGCCGATTGCTTACCATCAGGTGATCCGTCTGTTCGTTTACCGGCTTATGCCATAAAAAAAAAGACTGCTACGTTGGCCGAGTGGTCGCTAGTGCGACTGCCGGGACAAGGGGTCTCGGTTTAAATCCCGAATCGGGCAATGTATTGTGGCGTCACATGACAAATGATAACTCACGCACATAGATGAAAATAAATCCACGGATGATGCCACGAAATCCTACATCGCACATGTAAAGTTTAAGTACATGCGAATTAACACGGATAGAAAATCCCAACGAACCACTGTTGGGCAGAAAGCCCGCCAGGCACGATCACCTCGCCTGGTCGGAGGATCCTGCTTTTCCGATCTTAGGGAACTATACTCTCTGTTCCCTAAAGTGTAAAGATTTTTTAAATTCTCAGTAGTAGCACGGAGCCTGGAGTTGTGTCCGGTATACGGCAATAGGCTCACCCCCTATTACAAGGGACTCATAACATAAATAGTGAAAAGTGGGTGTTACATTGTACAGTGGCATTAAGTGCCGCAATGTACATTTCTGTCTACACCTGCGGGGTATAATGCGTGATTTTATGTTATGTTATGTTACTATAAACCACCCAACCAAAACAGGGTGCATACCCTCCAGACGACTGACGACTTTGGTTGACTCTTGACTCTTTATACTTAAAAAACCTAAACTAAATCCTTACTTATATTGTTAGGTGTTACTTTTAGGTTGGTGATGACAAAAATGATAACTGTCACCTATCGTGGGTAATGGGTTCCTTTAAATTTAGGAGAGGTTGGGGAAACGGCAATTGATCAACAATTGGGTAGTTTCCGGGGTGTCAAAATTAAAAATCGAATTAGTCCGTCAGTTAGATAATGAAACAATATTAGACAGGTATTTTTTTATTTTCTCGTATTAAGTTGCAATACTTAGATAAAATGGTGCTAAGTTTAGGAATGGGAGGTTGTTACGTCATAACGTGCTACAAAATGTGACACGCTGTGACGTCACACGATATTTCAAATTAATATATCGTCGAAAGTATTTAATTTTGTGAGAAAAGAAAAAATACATGTCTAAAGTTTTAAATTAATGTACCAGACGGACATTACAATAAAATTAAGGAAACTACCCAATTTTATTGAATTACAAACTTTCAATCTATTCTAATAATTACCAGCTTCATCCACCGGTATTGACACGGTGTAATACTTCATTGAAAATGGTGATTTAATCGAGACTTCAGAGTTGTTATCGAATTTGTAAATTTTCATTTTCATATAACTTGTCCCGTTCACTTTAGTGGGAAGTCCAAAATGACGATCTGAAAATCAAAGATAATTGGAATGATGACAGGGTATGAAAATTAAAAATCTGATTAGTCCGTCAGTTAGGTAATGAAAAATATTAGACACGTATTTTTTTATTTTGTCGTATAATAAAACAATACGTAGATAAAACGAATCAAAGTTCAGGAGTAGGGACTAAAACGTCATTTCTACGTATAAAATGTACATAGAAATGACAATACATAGAGATGAATTTCAAATCATTATAGTATATCGTCGAAAGTATTCGTTTCTGTAAGAAAATAAAAAAATACGTGTCTAATGATTTAAAAAATCTACCAGACGGACATTAAAATATAAATTAGGCATCTACCGTATTGGAGACACATCTATTTTACAGTTAGCATAATCTATTGAATCGAATTTTTTCCACAACTATTTCTATCATGGATATCAAACGAAAGGGATTACCCCTTGGTAATATAAAGTTCAGTGAAGCAAATTAAGTAAAATAGCTCAGTAGGCTGCGCGACGTCGCCGCGACTGCGCACGCTGCTCATGAGGAAGAAACCCCACTGTGGTTCGAAACTAGTAGAGCTTTTCTCAGTATATTCACGTGAGTAACCCGCGTTTTTACTTAATTTAGTATGTTTCAGTGAAGCAGTTAATAATTATGTGAATTACCTTTATACTCTATATAATGCTGAGACCATGTCACCTCGGAGCGCTCAATGTTACCAGAGAAACAGATTAATGTCTTCTCTTTTATATTACATTCCAAACGCGAATCTGTAAATACAATAACTCTTTTATAATATAAAAAATTTAAAAAAAACCGACTTCACCCCCTTTTAAGGTGCTCCCTCATCGGGAGCATTCGCGTGTAATGTAACGTTACAGATCTGAGCATTACATCAGTGAAGGAGGAGAACCGAGCATTACAATGCGCACCTTGTAATGATACAATGTGTAATATCTTAGTACAATATGTAATATCAATGCGCTTCACTTTCCCCAGTCACCCGCCCGCTTCGTCTGATATCTTGCTATCATCAAGAGCCTATAAATGCCTACCGCTGAGCAAAGCCTCTTCTCACACGGAGAAGGTTTGAGCATTAACCACTACGCTTGCTCAATGCAGGTTGCCGATTACAAACTTCACGATGTTTTTCTTCACCGGTTGTCAGTGGTGTCTAGATAATCTTAGAAAGTACATACGTATATAACTCGGAAAAAGTCACAATGGTACTTGCCATTGGTGGGTTTTGAACCCGCACCCTCATGCATGAGAGCTAGGGCCACCACGACCTATGTAAATATATGTATAATGTATAATACCTGTACATGTGTTCTTGAAATCTACTTCTATGGAACAATCCTTTTCACCATAATTCATCAGACACTGTTGCTCGAATCCTGAAATAATGAACACTTAAAATTACACTATAATACATTTAACTTTTTTTATATAACATAAGCCGGTAAATGAGCTGATGGATCACCTGATGGTAAGCAATCGGCGCCGCCTATGGACACTCGAAACACTAAGGTCCCTTTTCACCAAGCTCTGTAAAAACTCAGTTACACGTAACCTAAGTTTAAAGTAACCTAAGTTCTGTGTTCTGTGTTTTCTGTACTGAGTTCCGTGTAAACTAGTTTCTGTTTGTAGCGGTGAAATGTAAAATGAAGCTGTAACTTCGTTTAAACGCTTTAAATTCGATTAGACGCTTTAAATCAGTTTTGTTAGGTGTAATCGTGATCAGTTTCGTTGGTGAAAAGGGACCTAAGGCGTTACAAGTGCGTTATTGGCGTTTTGGGAATTTGAGGATTGTGGATGATTCTGGGATTCCGGAGACTAGGGACTTACGGATTTCCATAATTTCAGAAAAATTCAAAATATTTCCCTACAATTTTTTTTTATTGATTCAGACTCAGAATCGATATCCGAGTTACCTCCTAGAAAATGACGCGGCTATAAAACAATACCTTGTATAAAAATAGTCGGGTTTTCCTTCCTGACGCTATAACTCCAGAACGCACGAATCGATTTCCACGGTTTTGTATTCGTTGGAAAGGTCTCGGGCTCCGTGAGGTTTATAGCAAAGAAAATTCAGGAAAAACATTTTTCTTCATCTTTTAATCACCAAACGAAATGTTACATAAAACGAAGCCATCTGGTGGCGAAACGGAGTTCGCCTGGTTTGCTAGTAGATATAATATAGAAGACTTATTGGTATTTGTGAAAAATGTGCAGCGGAATATTATTTCGCATATAATGTTAAGAAATCTGAGGTTATCTGATATTTAGGAGTGGTAAAGGTCGCGGTAAATTTCACTGATACATGACAATGTTATTAATAAATTTAACACGTCGAGCGTCCGCGTCCCTTATGATCCAACGGTTGCACACGTGACATTTGGAGAAAGAAAGAAAGAAAATGCATTTATTTGGCCATTGGCACACGAAAACAAAGATCATTACAATAGAAATAAAACAAATACAGTCAAAATAAAAACAAAACATTAATAATAGATTTTATAAAAGAGAAAGCAGCATGGAACATTTTTCTTATGATCCACCGGGTGCTCATAAGGACGCTCGAGAGGTTAAATATCTTGGTCACATTATTAGGGATGATCTATTAGATGATGCGGATCTGGAACGCCAAAGGCGTAGTATAGCACGTCGTGCCAACATGTTGGCTCGGCGACCACAATGCACGGACCAAGTTAAGATAACTATTTCTGTTGCGTATTGTCAGTCTTTCTACACCAGTCAGCTGTGGTACATATACTACCACTGGAGTCAGGAGTGCTTACAACACTCTTCGTGTATAATACAATAATGCTTTCAAAGCAATCCTAAAGCTTTCCTGGCGGTGTAGTGCGAATGGCATGTTTGTGGAGAATAGGGTTACAGACTTCTATGGGCTTATGAGGAGGCTCAGGGCGTCTTTCCAGGCTCGTTTGTGTACATGTTGGAATGAGATAGCTGCGGCAGTGTTTCATCACGTGTACATACCTATTGATACTAGAACTGAACGATAATTATGAAAAATTTATAATGTATAATGGAACTAATATTTTTTAATTTTATTAAGTTTTTTATTTTATTTTATTGTAATTTTAATTTATATATTTCGTTTCTATGGGTTCCTATGCCAGAAATAATCGATGTATTTATTATGAGATACAATAACTATACGTTATTATAAGAGTATAAGATAAAAACTATAAGATACTAGCAAACCCGGTGAACTCCGTTCCGCCACCCAGATGGCTTCGTTTTATATGTTTTCTATAAACCTCACGGAGCCCGAGACCTTTCCAACGAATGCAAAACTGTGGAAATCGGTTCGTGCGTTCTGGAGGTATAGCGTCAGGAAGGAAAACCTGACTTATTGACGTGACAACGTCTTATAAATTGGTTTTCCGGGTGACACTTCAAGAAACTGCGTTACGCTCCGCTCACGTTATGCGCTCACAATGAGAGCGAGTGAGAGGCACGCGTCCCTTCCACTCGGGCATGGTTAGCCCGCCTAAGAGCGAGAGAGACAGACATAAAAAGTAAAAGGCACGCGTCCCTTCCACTCGAGCACAGTTAGCCCGCCTAAGAGCGAGAGAGACAGAGCGTTACCACTCAGTCGTTGTCACGTACTTTCGCCCGTATACTGACTTTACAGGCAACCAATTTTTTTTTATATAGTACATAATATAAGAACTCAAGATTATTCTAACCTTGTAGTGTGTGTGACACCTCGCCCTATAAGTAAGTAGTGTAAGTTAGATTTAAGACACTTAATTAAAGTTATTCATTACAACAAGACGTCTCCCTCATTGCTCCACATTGCATGGCGACCCTGCCAGTGCTGCCACGCGGGCAGCGCTGCGCACGAGTACAATGTTGGATATTCGTATTTGTTAAAAATAATTCAACTGTGGCCTAAAAAGTGCATTGTGCTCTAAAAAAAACTAAATCGTGGACTAAAGTGCGTATCAGTGTTAGCAAAAATGCAAAAAAAAAGGAGAGGTTTTGCTGGCTGCCGGGTGTCGATGCAGCCAGATGTGGACCTGCCGGGAGCAGTTGGTGTCCTGGAGGATGGAGCCGGGAGATGTTGGCGACCAGGTAGCGTCTGAGAGAATCTCGCTACCTTGGGTACGTGATGTAACCGGACTCGAAAGTACTTTGTGTTTAAATGTTAAGTGTATTAGTGTAGTTAAAAAGTGAAAATGAACACCAGCATATAGAACTGTAGTAGTAAGATAAACATAATTTTAATAAGGGCCCAACGTATATTATGTAATTTTAGTTATTTCATATAATTTTAAACATTTTATTTATAATATATGTATACACTAGATATAGTTCACGCCTGTTGACAATATTATAAGTTTTGTATTGAATCATTTTATGCTTACTATTATTTTAAATGAATTAATGTGAAATCTTACAAATATTTGTTGTAATTTAGATATTTTTTTTTTCTATTTCATAGTTTGCTAACATTAAGCAGATTAAAGGAATGTTCCCATGGCCATATAAGTAAATGATGTCATACCGAGTGTCAGATTGTATTGAAAGAATCGTGTTACTCGACACCGATTAACAATAACAACTGCACTTTGGTTTTGTCTTGTGAAATAAATAAATTATATGAATGAAATTTGATATTAGCTAGGTTTTGGAATGTGTTTATTGTTCGTATAAGTATGTAAGTTTGGATTTTAGGTAGTTCGGAATGACTTGGTACACAAGTTTTGGCGTATGACTGAAGGCTGATCACCTAAGGACAACGTAAAATTTTGTCGACCAAGCTATTTAATTGGATTGTGTTTATGTTAGGTTTGACAGTTAAGAATAAGTAAATAATAAATATAATAGGTACACATGGTAAGGTACAGTTTAGTGTTCATGTCCTTAATTTGATCATGGTGTAGACGAGCTCTCTCTGTGAAAATTATTGGAGATCATAAGAATCTTAAATATTGACACTAAATTTTAAAATGAATATAAATATGAATAAAAGTAAGCACAAGTATAATAATGAAATGAAGAATGGTGGATAAATATAATGAAATAAATAATTAATGAACAGGTACCGGAGAGTCCTGTATATAAATAATTATAATGTGCTTACATGTGTATAAAGTTATTGTGTACCTTACGATGATAGTGAAAAGTTTTAAATAAAGTATATTATGTGTACCTAGTTATAAAAGATATAAAGGAAGAATAAATATGTACAAAGGATAAATTTATAACAGAATTTTTATAAATATTTTATAACATTTGTCAACAGTGCGAATAATTTTATATAAAAATAATTATACGGTTGTATCTAAAAAAAAATGTATTAGAATAATTTTTTTTCCAAAAAAACGGGGGAGGTGTAGTGTGTGTGACACCTCGCCCTATAAGTAAGTAGTGTAAGTTAGATTTAAGACACTTAATTAAAGTTATTCATTACAACAAGACGTCTCCCTCATTGCTCCACATTGCAACCTTCTAGAAAAGTGCCTTCCTCTCTAAAGCAAGGTACTTGTGACAGCTCTAGTGCTACGAGTCTCCACGGGCGGCGCTGATCGCTTACCATTCGACGATTCGTCTGCTCGTTGCTCGTTCCAAAGAATGAATATATTTTTGGATTCCTGGACCAACGAGCAAGCTAAGAAGTAGTACTTACCATCCACGCCCGTACTCCTTGTGCCGTTTAGGATATTAAGTTTAGCGCATGACGCTTTATTGTTTTTGATCTCCAAATCAACCGCTACATAGTTGACATTCAGTTTACATTGTATTGTGTACATTCCGTCTTTAGGGTATATTCTTGATATGTTCAGTGAGTGTCGGTCTGTGGACAAAAATACTAAAACCTTGAACTATTTGCTTACATTTAAGTTGGCTTAAAGTCTCAAAATCTATTAAGATATTTAGTCCGTCAGTTAGGTAAGGAAAAAACACATTTGGTTACGTTAGGTTAGAACTGTGGCATAATGCGCGTGCCACGGCAGCGGCCGCCGAGCGCTATATTACTAACCGCTTTTCAAATCTTTTCATACCTATTATTATGTTTGTTTAATCAATTTATTTCATCTCAACTGTTACTAGTTGGGGGCTTGTTCGTCCGTGAGTCACTTAAGGGGCCAGTAGAATACTAGCGCGAGGCCCTGTCTTGCACATGCTGAACTGGGTCCCATTTCACGGCACACTTGTGACATGAACATGTATCCATCAGTACCTACTAATACAATGACTTATTTGTACTTGTCACTTGTTTTCTGGCGTGAAATAAAGATTTTTCTTTCTTTCTTTCTTCATTTAGCTGTTTATATTATTTTTATTTATTCATATTGCACAATGTACATATAATAGGAAGTATTACATACAACTAATTCAGTACATTACCCTGTTAGGGCGCAGCAATTTAAAACGTTACAAAATATAATGTCAGCTGAAATGTATAACTATTTCTTACAGCTATAACTATACCTAACTATATAATAATTATTTAATAATAATAATTCTTTATTCATATACCAACAACATTTAAATACATCAAGCTCTGTCTCCTGAACTAGGCATTGCCTGTATCTCAGGAGGCAGGCTCTCATATATTAACTACTAGCTTCTGCCCGCGACTTCGTACGCGTAATCCCATTTTTCCCGTCCCCGTTCGTGATTTTCGGTAAAAAGTAAAAAAAATCCTATGTCGGTCTCCTGACTCTAAGCTACCTCCCTACCAATTTTCAGCCAAATCTATTCTGCCGTTTTTGAGTTATAAGTGGTGTAACTAACACGACTTTCTTTTATATATATATATAAATTATATATAGTTAGTTTTTTTTTTTTTTAAGGGGGGAAAATCATCGAATGACTGCTCCCGCCTGGGTGAGGCGGAAGGGAGTGTCAGACTCTTACTGACTAAAAACCACCCCGTTCCTTCTCCTGCACGTCGAGCCGGAGCCCCGGTTACCCGTTAGGTTCTCCGCGACTCCGAATCGGCATCGGCCCTATTGGGCCCCATCTGTGGTGGTCTGATGGCTCTTTGAGGCGCGCGCGGAACGCGACGCGCCGTACGCTCGGGTCTGTTTCTGGTCGGACGGGGAGCCACCCATGCTCGCCGTCCGCAGGCCCGCGCTTACGGTGGCCGGAGATCGTCCCGCGATCCCCGACGCCCGGTGTGTCCTTCGCGATGGCTAGGTTGCGAGGAGGCAGCGCTTCGCTGCCTCACGCGTCCCGCCTCCTCCTTAGCCAGCATATATATAGTTAGTACAATGCAGATGGATACTAACCTGTTTTCGCATGAAGCAGATACTGTGAGATATCGGGAGGTACATTTTTCAGCACAATATTTAATTTTAAGAAACCGCTCTTCGAATATTTGAAACTGACAGGACTGTTGAGATCTGTAAGAAGAAATACTTGACTGTTACCTAAGTGCCGAGATTGTTTCTATGCTGTGCCTCTAAACGCCACTTTAGCGCTTGTCTACAGAGAGAGTAGAAAACTAAATGTATGGGGATTTTTTTTAAGGGGGGAAACTCATCGAATGGCTGCTCCCGCCTGGGTGAGGCGGAAGGGAGTGTCAGACTCTTACTGACTGAAAACCACCCCGTTCCTTCTCCTGCACGTCGAGCCGGAGCCCCGGTTACCCGTTAGGTTCTCCGCGACTCCGTATCGGCAACAGCCCTATTGGGCTCCATCTGTGGTGGTCTGATGGCTCTTTAAGGCGCACGCGGAACGCGACGCGCCGTACGTTCGGGTAAATGTATGGGGATAACACTGACAAGTGTCAAAATTTACGTCAATAGGGTAGTTTCCTAAATTTTATTTTAATATCCGTCTGGTAGGTACATTAATTTAATACATTAGACACGTATTTTTTCTTTTCTCACAAAATTAAATACTTTCAACGATATATTATTAATTTGAGATATCGTGTGACGTCACAGCGTGTCATATTTTGTAACACGTTATGACGTAACGACCTCCCACTCCTAAACTTAACGCGATTTTATCTATTGCAATGTGATACGAGAAAATAAAAAAATACGTGTCTAATATTTTTTCATTATCTAACTAACGGATTAATTAGATTTTTAATTATGATACCCTGAAAACTACCCAATTCCATATAATATAGTTTTCTATTCTACAAGTAAACAAGCGCTAAATAGCATTTGGCTACAGCTGCTGGATCGCTCTTCAGTCAGTAGTATGTACATGGAGAGTAGGTGTGTACCTGACTGCGCATGTCAGTGCGACCTAAAGGCTAGTTTTAAAGTCGCGCTGACCGCACACTGACTGTCAGCGGCGTTGTCAGTCGAGATATTATGTTGACATTGTATATGACATATTTAGCAACATTCTATTTAATATTTTAACATTTTGATGAAAATAACATGGTTACTTCTAAATGCTGTCATGTACCAAGAATTTGTGATTCAATTAACATCTTTCAATTCAATTATCATTATTGTAATTACTGGTTTTTATTTTATTTTACAAAGCATGGTTAACTTAATATTCCTGAACCAGCAATGGTAGTGTATATGAAACAATATTTGATGTAAAATTTCAATGTACCATATACTTGGGAATTCTATTCTATAAATTCCATCATTCTATTCTATAAATGAACTTCTTGAAAGGGTTTTTGAATGACGCGTTGCTATCTGCACGCACGGTGGTCAGCGCTGACAGCTACGCGTCGAGCCGCCGCAGCGCGTGTCGCCTAGTCAGGACTATACTAAGGCTGGTCTTTAGTGTCGCGCTGACCGCATGCTGACCGTTAGCGCTGTCAGCCTAGCAGTTGTAACCAAATGCAATTTAGCGCTTGTCTAAATGTGGAATAGAAAACTAAATTATATGGACTAAATTATTACCTATGTATATTATTCTAATTACCAAATTTGTTATGCATTTGTATAGTTATTTTTGTTCCTAAATTGTATTAATTTTTATTTCTTATATTTAATTACCTAATTCGTTTGTTTTTAAGTACTTAAATAATAGTATTTATATAAGAATAACAGCATAACTTAATGGCGTAAGCTGTAGTGTTATATTATGTAAATTTTCTAAATAAATAAATGGAATTGACGTAAATTTTTACACTTGTCAGTGTCATCCCCATACATTTAATTTTCTACTCTCTTTGTAGACAAGCGCTAAAGTGGCGTTTGGCTAAAGGCACAGATGTAGTAACTTCTAGGTAGCGTTTTTGAATGACGCGTGGTGAGGCTATCAGCGCGCCCGGTTCCCAGAAGTTCACATTTCTCGGTTATCAGCGCCGACGGTCAGCGTGGGGTCAGCGCGACACTGAAACCAGCCTTATACGCGCCACACTGCGCCTCAGCGCTGACAAACTAAGCTATGAGCGTTGACGGTGGGCGTGAGACTAAAACCAGTCATAGTGGTTATTATACATATCGAGGGGTAACAGACTATTTGGTTTAAGCGACATTTTGGTCGATATTGAGTTATATAATTATTTATTCGGAATCAGTGAATTTTTCTCCGTCGAATATATTATAATAACTTAATATCGCCCAAAATGTCGCTTAAACCAAATAGTCCGTTACCCCTCGATATTATTATGTTAGACACAGAAATACTTACTGCTCCATACATTAACCATCAATGTTGTAAGAAGAAATAGTTGAAAACTGATCATCTTTGATAATTTCTTTGTGCAAAGACGTTCTGTAGCGGCAGTGAAGTCAGGTTTACCTGTAGGCAAAATGTCATCGTAAACAGCAGCTCATGTAGTGTAGATGTCCAGTCAACAAGGATGTAGCGAGGTTGACTGTCCAGGCGACACACGTACTTAGGTATCGTCATGAGCTAATGTTCACATGTAAACAGCAGCTCATGTAGTGTAGATGTCCAGTCAACAAGGATGTAGCGAGGTTGACTGTCCAGGCGACACACGTACTTAGGTATCGTCCTGAGCTAATGTTCACATGTAAACAGCAGCTCATGTAGTGTAGATGTCCAGTCAACAAGGATGTAGCGAGGTTGACTGTCCAGGCGACACACGTACTTAGGTATCGTCATGAGCTAATGTTCACATGTAAACAGCAGCTCATGTAGTGTAGATGTCCAGTCAACAAGGATGTAGCGAGGTTGACTGTCCAGGCGACACACGTACTTAGGTATCGTCATGAGCTAATGTTCACTTGTAAACAGCAGCTCATGTAGTGTAGATGTCCAGTCAACAAGGATGTAGCGAGGTTGACTGTCCAGGCGACACAAGTAAATTCATAATAGAAGACTAATTTTTATTTTAATGTCATTCTGGTAGATTATTTAAACATTAGACACGATTTTTTTATTTTTTTACATAATTAAATACGTACTTATGACGATATACTGATTTCGAATATCGCATGACGTCACTTTTGAGTACGATTTATACTCTAAAATGACGTAGCTACCTCCCACCCCTAAACTTTGATTCGTTTTATCTAAGTATTGTTTTATTATACAACAAAATAAAAAAATACGTGTCTAATATTTTTTCATTACCTAACATACGGACTAATTAGATTTTTAACTGCTTCAAAAAAAGGAGGAGGTTCTCAGTTTTTTTTTAAACGTTACCCCACACTAGATTTTCTCCTGTGTCGTGTGTGCGTTTACAAACATACAAGTTCACATACACATGACACCCAGACCCGGATCAACAATTTGTGGATCACACAAAGAGTTGTTCCGTGCGGAATCGAACCCGCGACACGTTGCACGGCTGCCGGTTGCCCAACCACCGCTCCAACCGTGCAGTCAAATTCGACCATATATGTACGTGTATTCTTAATTTTCATACCCTGTCATCATCCCTATTACTGAATTAGGTGTAGAACTATTTCATAAAAATATGACAGGAAAATGCAATATTAAATTAATACTTATATTTAAAAGCAGGATAATTACATTTTCCCTTAATTCTACACTAAACTACAGTTTACTTACTGATAAAAATTACTGTTAAATACATACATAATATCACGCCTTTTATCCCTGAAGGGGTAGGCAGAGGTGCACATTACGGCACTTAATGCCACTGTACAATGTAGCACCCACTTTTCACTATTTATGTTATGAGTATCATGTAATAGGGGGTGAGTGTATTATTATTGGAACATTAGTATTAAATGTAACTTCTTGTGGAAACTCCAAAGTTATAATTGAACTTCAAACGCGCACGAATTAACATGATTATCAACAGCCTATAAGTGTCCATGCTGACCAAGACCTTCTCACACGGAGAAGATGTGAGCATTAATCACCACACTTGCTCAATGCAGGTTGGCACATGAATGGATCTATTAAATAACATAAATGAGTACATTTTTTTATTGCAACTGCCTCGTTGGCCGAGTGGTCGCAAATGCGACTGCCGGGCAAGGGGTCTCGAGTTCGATTCCCGGGTCGGGCAAAGTATTACTGGGTTATTGAAAAAATTCTCAGTAGTAGCACGGAGTCTGGTATTGTACCCGGTATATGGCAATAGGCTCACCCCTATTACATGGGGCTCATAACATAAATAGTGAAAAGTGGGTGTTACATTGTACAATGGCTTAATGTGCACCTCTGCCTACCCCTTCGGGGATAAAAGGCGTGATGTTATGTTATTTATTTTTTATAATTTTACATATTAATTCTATACGGACTCCTGGTCCGTGCCCCGGTCATATATTTTTTTATTACAATACATCTAATCAATATTTATAAAGTAAAGTAGGTATCTAGTTACAAACTACAATTGGGTGATGACAGGGTATGAAAATTAAAAATCTAATTAGTCCGTCAGTTAGGTAATGAAAAAATATTAGACACGTATTTTTTTATTTTGTCGTATAATAAAATGATAATTAGATATAACGAATCAAAGTTTAGGAGTGGGAGCTAAACGTCATTTCTACGTATAAAATGTACATAGAAGTGACGTCACGCGACATTTCAAATTCAAATCAATATATCATCAAAAGTATTCGTTTCTGTAGAAAATAAAAACAAATATGTGTGTAATATTTTAAAATAATCTACCAGACGGACATTAAAATTACATACATACGTACATAACTTCACGCCTGTCTCCACCCTATCTCCCATGGGGGTAGGCAGAGACTAGGGAACGCCAATTACTACGATTCTTACATACCTCTATCGCTTCATCAACAGTCATCAATCTTTTCATGCACGCTCGTCGGTTAAGGGTACTTTTAATTTGGCCTGTCTTTAATATATCGCCAATCTGGTCACTATGATATGTCCGTCTAGGGCGCCCTCTACCGAGGACCCCATTCATATCCGCTCTGTATACTTCTTTCGTCACTCTTCTTTCATCCATCCTTTCTACATGTCCAAACCAGCGTAACATTCCCTTTTCAATCCTTGTCAGTACATCATCTTTCAATCCACACCTTTCTCTAATAACAATTTTCGATTAAAATAAAAATTAGGCATCTATCATATTAACCACATCTATAATTATTACTAATAAATTAAATTAGTACTTACCCGCTCCTTAAGGATTAAAATAAATATTAAATTTGAACAAATAAAATATGACGTTTTATAATAAACACATTCACTTTGAGACTGAATGACAAGGCAAACACAAATTGTCAAATCGCACTGAATTATTTAGTTTTACAAAATGAATTTCAATATAGTAACGTATTTAGGAATAAGTACTATTGTCAAATTAAGCTTCGATTCCAAATAAATTGTATTTATTTATTTGGTCAACACAACACTACATTAACTAATGCTATTAATAAATTATGTTTCACTGTGTTTGCAAAGTGATTTGTTATTATTTTCCCTGTATCGTCACTGTATGATTCATTGCGGTTTGTACATAACATAACGCAACATCACGCCTTTTATCCTGAAGGGGTAGGCAGAGGTGCATATTTTTATTTTTTTTATTAAAACAAACGTTGCCCTACACTAGGATTATCTCCTGTGTCCTCCTCACATACTCATGACACCCAGACCCGAAACAACAATTTGTGGATCACACAAAGTGTTGTTCTGTGCGGGAATCGAACCTGCGACACGTTGCACGGCAGCCGGTTGCCCAGCCACCGCACCAACCGTGCATCATTACGGCACTTAATGCCACTGTACAATGTAACACTCACTTTTCACTATTTATGTTATGAGTCCCATGTAATAGGGGGTGAGCCTATTGCCATATACCGGGCACAACTCCAGACTTCCGTGGGATACCAGTAGTACTTTGCCTGATCCGGGAATCGAACCCGAGACCCCTTGCCGGGCAGTCGCACTTGCGACCACTCGGCCAACGTAACGTAGTTTGTAATTTATTATAAACTAGTTTCTGCCCGCGACTTTGTACGCGCAATCCCATTTTCTCCCGTTTGGATTTTTCTCTGTCTTAAGAACCTTCTCCTTATAATAATAAATACCTACAAAAATAAAATAATTAGTGAAATCGGTCCAGCCAATCACGCATGATGCCGTGACCAAGGGAAACAGGGATCCATTCATTTTTATTTATATACACCTATATAGACTAGCTACTCCTGCATGGTTACACCCACTGCTATAGCCTACAGCCGTCCTCGATCAATGGACTACCCAACACAAAAATAATTGACAATTCGGACCAGTGGTTTCAGAGATTAGCACATTCAAAAAACAATCAGTCAAACAAATAAACAGCTATTCAGCTATATAATATAATAGTGTAAGATATGTCTGTATGTATAATAACCGCGAGCTGGGCTCGCTGCCATTGCAGCGGTAAGGTACCTAAGTCCCTTCTTTGAGGAGTGGCTTGAGAGACGCTACGGCGTCCTCACCTACCGCCTGATGCAGGAGCTTCGGGAGTTACCTGTATCTAATCGGTCGGGAGAAAACGCCCGGGTGTCATCACTGCGAGGACTGCCCTGAGGACACGGTGGAAGATTCAGTTGGAGAATGCCCTGCGTGGGCTGAGCACCTCGTGCCCTCAGGGATGCGATGGGCGACGGCGACCTCTCGCGTCCGACCCTAGTGCGGGTCATGATGCGGAGCGAGGGGGACTGGGATGCCGTCTCCTCCTTTTGCGAAGCAGTCAGCATGGGTAGCTCGCCGTCCGACCAGAACCACACCCGAGCGTGCAGCACGTCGTGTTTCCATCAAAGAGCCATTAGACCACCACAGATGGGGCCCAATAGGGCTGATGCCGATACAGAGCCGCGGAGAACTTAACGGGCTCCGGCTAAAGGGCAGGAGTAGGAACGGAGTGGTTTTTAACAGACCTCTACCGATATAATGTGACGAAGAGGGCTCACGCTCATCATCGCCCACACCATCCTTCGACATACACGAACCTCCATTTCTAGCATCGGCGACGACGCTAGAAATGGCATCTACGGCGTGAATCACGCCAATAAGGGGGTTGTGCCGCGGAGTCAAGCAAACAGTAGCAGCGCGACAGCCGCCGCGCCGCGGGTCGCTAAATACTGCTCATGAATATGAGCCTCTAGCATGGCTTGAAACTAGTCGAGTTCCTCGTCAAACAGTTACGTCGAAAACATAATAATTAATTTAGTACGTCTCACGAAAGTGTTAAAATAAAAGTCTTGTAATTTAATTTATTTGCAGTTATTTCTCTTTAATTATCACACGATGCACATACATAGAATATACGAAAAGGAAACAAAAATATGTACAACTTAAAAGACACTAAAATTAATGGAAATGAAATAAATAATTAGCAACGGGGATGATGACAGGGTATGAAAATTAAAAATATAATTAGTCCGTAAGTTAGGTAATGAAAAAATATTAGACGCGTATTTTTTTATTTTGTCGTATAATAAAACAATACTTAGATAAAACGAATCAAAGTTTAGGAGTGGGGGTTAAAACGTCATTTCTTAGTATAAAATGTATTGAGAAGTGACGTCACGCGACATTTCAAATCAATATATCTTCGAAACTATTCGTTTCTGTGAGAAAATAAAAAATACGTGTCTAATGTTTTTAAATAATCTATCAGACGGACATTAAAATAAAAATTAGTCGTCTACCCTTTAGCCGATATCAGTTAAGATGAACAAAAACTTCTCTTCTATTTATATTAATAATTTCGTCAAGAGTACGGTAGACTCGATCGAAACATTACTTGAATAACAAAACATAAAAAAATATCGATTTCGAGTCGACAACATATATCCGCAACATTCGGAATACAGAGATTATTTCGTTTTAATAATTCATTTTAATGACACTGACAGACAAACCGCAGTCGCCATCTTGAGTAGACAATAAACGTTCCGTTTCATACTAGCTCTCAAATACGCCTCGCCAATCAACACGTTGTCGCGTCAAAAAAGTATAAATTAACAAGAAATATGAATAATTTCACGCGAATAAAGTCGTGGGTAACAGCTAGTTTTGTTATAATTTACTGGCCGCCATAATTTGAGCATATTGAGGTTCATCCGGCTGGGTTGGTTTCTTTCCACTGGTTTTGAGGTCCAAAGTGGCGTAATTTACGTCTTGGTTCTCCTGCAAAGTAATATTTTTAATTCAATATTTTATCTGTGACATACAGAGAAGAAGAGTCGTGGTGGCCGAGAGGTTTAAGAGGCCCGCTTCACATGCATGAGGGTGCGGGTTCGAAACCTACCAACGGCAAGTACCAATGTGACTTTTTCCTAGTTATATGTACTTTCTAAGATTATTTAGACACAACTGACAAACGGTGAAGGAAAAACATCGTGAGGAAATCGCCAACCCGCATTGAGCAAGCGTGGTGATTAATGCTTAAACTTTCTCCATGTGAGAAGAGGCTTTGCTCAGCAGTGGGTATTTATAGGCTGTTGAAGATGTTGATGATACAGAGAAGAAAACATTACGAGGAAACCTGTTTCCTTTTTTTTGAGGAGGGAAAATCATCCAATGACTTCTCCCGCTTTGGGTGAGGCGATTGGGCGTGTCAGTCTTATTTAATAGGACAACCCCGCCACAACCTCCCAAAACCGCTGCAACTCCTGTAAGCCACGTAAGATACAATCATGAAAACACCGGAACATTGAAGTCCGGCGCGTCCCAGGGACATGATAAACAGCCTTGTTCCCGCAACGAAGTGAATCAGAAGATATTATAAGAGGAGAAGAAAAATAACGATAGTTTCCCCTTCCCTCGGTGAATTACTGCAGAGACAGAATGTCAGAGTCTTAGCGACTAAACACCACCCCGTTCCTTCTCTTTCATAAAGCCCAGTAACCCGCAACTGCCCGCAAGGTTGTCCGTGGCCCCGGTATCGGGAGGAAACTTGGACTTATTCAAATTATAAGTTTGAAGTCGCCAATCAGCTTTAGCAATCGGAGTGATTAATGCTCATTATTTCACAAAGAGAAGAGATCTTTTCTCAGCAGTGGTCACAAGCACGACTGACAAGACTTGGAGTCTTTTTAAGGGGGGAAAAATCATTGAATGGCTTCTCCCGCTTGGGTGAGGTGTATCAGACTCTTACTGACTAAAAACCACCCCGTTCCTACTCCTGCACTTCGAGCCGGAGCCTTGGCAACCTTTTACATTCTCCGCGGCTCCGTATCGGCATTAGCCCTATTGGGCCCTATCCGTGGTGGTCTGATGGCTTTTTGAGTCGCTTGGGTCTGGTTCTGGTCGGACGGCGAGCTTGAGTAGCTGACAGGACTAGGTATGTAGGGTTCGATTTCCAGGTCGGATAAAGTATTACTAGAATTTGTTAAGTTTTTCGGAAATTTCTCTTTAGTTGTCTAGAATTGTGCCCGGTATCATCATCAACAGCCTATAAAGCCCACTGCTGAGCAAAGCCTCTTCTCACACGGAGAAGGTTAGAGCATTTATCACCACGCTTGCTCAATGCGGGTTGGCGATTACAAATTTATAATTAGAAATTATAAGCCCAGGTTTCCTCACGATGTTTTCCTTTACCGTCTGTCAGTGGTGTCTAGATAACCTTAGAAAGTACATATAACTCGAAAAAAGTCACATTGGTACTTGTCGTTGGTAGGTTTCGAACCCGCACCCTCATGCATGAGAGTCTTAAACCTCCGGGCCACCACGACATATACGATCCCGGCACGACATATACGACATATATGACGTGCCCGGTATATGGCAGTAGAATAGACTCACCCTCTATCACACGGGACTCATAACATAAATAAAATAGGGATATACATTTCAAATTTTGTGGACAAAACACGTGATGGAATTAAAAAAAACAAAGATCTTACACAAATGCTCCGCTCTGTAGCAATTTCAGTTCCGTTTCTCTTTTTCCTGATACAAATGTAAGTTGTAATTATAGTTATGGTTAATAATACAGCGATTGGTATTATTAAATACGCGTAGTTTGTGAATGTCTGTACCATTTGTTCCATAGTCGCAAGAGACGTATCTGAAAATATGATAAATAATCTTATATACTTATTCTATAAAGCGGAAGAGTTAGTTTTTTTGTTTGAACGCGCTAATCTCCGAAACTACAAGTCTGATTTGAATAATTCTTTTTGTGTTGGATAGTGCATTTATTTATTTATTTAAGTTTAATACAATTGCATAAGGAAGACTTAATGCTAACAGCATTCTCTGCCAGTCATCCTTTGGGTAGTGCAGAAATGTATGTGGTAGGTGGTAAGCTACAAAACTGATAAGAGAAATAGTGGTAATTATCCAAATTAATAAAAGGGTATCAAAAGCATACATAAAATACGTAAATATAATCGTATAGATATATATAATTATATATAATATAAATATCATTATACATATAAATATATTTGTGACTCGTATATGAATTTGTCCTATGTTACAACAAGATGAAAAATTATGAAAGATGTTATGAAACTGCCAGCTTTCCGCTAATGTACTCACGCGCCCTCCGCTTGAAACTCAGACGACTGGTTGCGGTTCTGATTTATCAAGAATGGCTATAGGCTATAAAACATCACGCTACGACCAATAGGAGCTGAGCAGAGCATGTGAAACTGCGCGGAAGTAGCTAGTTTTTATTATTATAACTATCGTGAGACATGGGGTTCTTCCTCATGAGCAGCGTGCGCGGTCGCGGCGATGTCGCGCAGCCTACTCAATAGTAACCCAACCCCTCTGTGGTTCGAAACTAGTAGAGCTTTTCTCAGTATATTCACGTGAGTAACCCGCGATTTGTAGTTAATAAATCATTAAATTAAAATTTGTTATATCGCTGTGACGAGTCATTGAAGATTTGCCTCCAAAATTATAGCCTTCCTCGATAAATGCGCTATTCAACACAAAAAGAATTATTAAAATCAGACTTGTAGTTACGGAGATTGGCGCGTTCAAACAAACAAACAAACAAGAAAACAAACTCTTCCGCTTTATATAATAGTATAAGAGTATAAGATTAATTTATTTAGCAGGTAGTAGGTCTTGGTCGATCTTACCTGCATCCGTAGTCTCAGTTTGATTAAACTCGTTCTTCTTGCATACCAATAAGGTTTTATTTGCAATGACCCGGTTGATATATTGAGTTCCGTCTGATTGAGTCTTTTCGTAATATACACAACACAGCATACTTCCATTTTTACTGACATCGAGTAACTCACTATATAAAGTTCCTATTACCGTCTGTATGTTGTCCCCTCTACTGTCAATCAAACCAATTGATATATCTGTAAAACAATAATAATAAATCATAACTTGATAACTGTAATTGCAAGTGTGGGAGAGCCATGCTTCGGCACGAATGGGCCGGCTCGACCGGAGTGATACCACGGCCGAACAGAAAACCGACATGAAACAACGCTTGCGTTGTGTTTCGTCGTGTAAGTGAAGTTACCAGAGGCCCAATCACGTCCCCTCCCACTCCCCATCGCGAATTCCCAACAATCCTCAAACTCCTAATCCCCAAAAGGCCGGTAACGCACTTGTAACGCCTATAGTGTTCCAGGTGCCCATGGGCGACGCCAAATGCTTACCATCAGGTGATCCATCTGCTCGTTCACCAGCTTATGCCATAAAAAGAAAATAATAATTAGTAACATGATTGACGATTGATATAAATACATGGCCTTTTGGGGATTAGGAGTTTGAGGATCGTAGGAGATTCAGGGATTGGGGAGATTGGGGAAGGGGAGAGTAATTGGGCCCCCGGTAACATCACTCACACGACGAAACACAACGCAATTGCGTTGCTTTACGTCGGTTTTCTATGAGGCATATTAAGACATAGTAAGGAATATCGAGCATGGCTCTCAAATATGGGTAACTAGCTTTTACCCGCGGCTTCGCTCGCGTCACACAAGGATAAAAAGTAGCCTATGTGACATACGCCAATACACACAGCGCCATCTATACCAATACTTTTGTTTTCCCTCGGGAATATCAATTTTCCGGGATAAAGAGTATTATTTAATCCAGACTTCTAACTTTACGTCTGCAAAAAATCAAAGTAATCGGTTTAGTAGTTACGGCGTGAAAGCGGAACAAACAAACTCACTTTCTGATTTATAATATTAGTAAGGATATAGTGGGTGAATATCCCAGGCGCTAATTTTACGTGTCCACGCTGAGAATCATGGTGTAAAACCATGGTATGCTTCTTATATTTTTTTATTGTCAACTACTTAACTTATTCTAATTAGGGCCACATTTTTTTTTAAATAGGCTTACTTATGGAAACTTTGGAAAAATAAATAACTTTAAAATTCAAGTTTGGTGGCTTGTCCTAGCTCCATTTTTTGATATAAATGTATTTACCAAAGAAACAATTTAAAGTGAAGTAAAAAACAAATCATTACATTGGTATATGCATAAGACACACTATCTAAAAACAACTAAACCATATTATAAAATTGATTTTAAAAGCACAGGATACTCGATTTAAGTTTGTCCTTGCAAAAATCATAATTTTGGTATCACTTTTTCAAGTTAAATTTAGCATGAAGATTCGTGCGTGTGCGATTAATCGCGTTTTATATTCTGTATTTGTCACTCTTGCGGGGGTAGTGGCAAGTAACAGGTGTGTGCATAGAGCTGTGATTTCTCGCCAAAAACGTAAGTATCATCTTGGGTCGAACAGGGGACAAGAATTTTTCAATTTTGGTGGATCGATTTGCTGTTGATTTTTTAAGTGTTTTAATAGTGAGCCACGTATTGTAGGTAGTGATTTGGGTAACTTACTTATTAGTGATATTTATTCTATTGTATCTTAATAACTGTATTTTTTAAGATTTTTTTTATGCCTGGTTTCAATTTTGGTGGCTCAATTTTGGTGGCTTTGGTGGCAATTTTCGCCACTAAAATTGAAAATAAGCCACCAAATTTTAAATATGTACTGTTTATATATTATTTTTGCATTTAAAGACAGTTTTTCACTACAGATTGATTATGTATATGTATATATTTAAGCATACGTTACTATTTTATTTGTTTCTCTTCTGTTTGTTCTATTTATTAAATTGCACATGCCATGTTATTTTTCTGCACTACTCTAAGGTCGACCGGCTGTTATGCCGACATCTAAGTTTTATGTAGGTACTTAGCAATAGATTTGACCTATTATTCGTATAAGGGTAATGAATTAGTTATACTTACCTATTTTTCTTACTTTTTAGAATGCCAAAACAGACTAGAAAAGAGAGGCTGGTTAAAAAAATAATGGCAAAAAGAAAAAGAATAAATTACGGAAAATAGAGAGGGATAGATATCATTAGAAGAAAAAAAAGGTAAACTGGCTTCTCAGAAACTAAAATCCCAACGCGAGCGTCGCGCTTTGCAAATAAAAAACAAAATATATCAACGAGAATATTAGTAAGCAACAGTATACCTTGGTTTTAAGAAATGTACGTCCACGAACAAGCCGTGATTGTAGTAGTCCAGCTCGCACTAAAAGTAATAATAAAATGACTTTGCACATCAATACTCCGACAGCTTACAGCCGACCACAAGTCATATTACTCCAAGTACCTAAGTCACAAAATCTTCGCACAAGTAGCCCTGCTGAAGTTACAGCGCTGTCATCCCCTACATCTCCACGTGTCAGTAGTATTGATATTTGTACTGTTTCCATAGTATGGCCTGATAGTCCAACTTCAGATACATCAATAACGTCAGTGGACTTTAAACGTGCGTTTAGGAATAAGTTTCGACGATATCAAAAATGCAAAGCCAAAGAGATAGAGATATTGTAGCGAAGGATTTCAGAACTCAGAAGAGTTAAGAGTTTATTATGTTTTGGTTTCTTACACTTCTTATTGAAATATATAATTAAAACTAAAATATTTACACCTTAAAAAATAATAATAATGAAAATAAATCATAAGGCATCAAAGAAAACATTTTCCTCATCGCTACCGTGAGGTAGGGTGCCCAAAAGACTGGCAGCATTGCCACGTTGAATGGCAATGCTTAACCTTTGCCCAAGGTAGTAGTCAGCCCTTCGATCACCTGGAGTGTCAACCATCCTCCTTACAATATCTTTGTAAAGAAGATGTGCACTTGGGCCCCACGGCCCTAAAGTTTCAACCCCAAACGGTTCGAAAGCATAATTGCCAATCAGGCTATTATACTTTCGCCGTTTGAGGTTCTCGGCAGGAGGAGGCTCGACACGCGGAGCTTGGAAGATGGGATGGCGCCAGAGTATCAACGCAAGTGGCGTCCCATACTAAAGGCCTACCCATCTTCCAAGGGAATAATGACATACCGTCGGGTCTCTTGCCATCGTCGCGTACCAAGCCATTAGGTTCTAAAATAGCTGGCACGCCAACGGAGGCAAGAGTTCGACGAATTATGTCATTAATACTTGCGTGTCGAGCTAAACGGCCCGCACTACGGCTACATGACAAGCCGTGGTGTCCAAGGCTGTTGACATCTTCACCACAACGACAACTATGAGGTGAACAAAATGAAGCTCCAAGCCTTAAACAACCGTCGCGAAGGACACACCGGGCGTCGGGGATCGCGGGACGATCTCCGGCCACCGTAAGCGCGGGACTGTGGACGGCGAGCATGGGTGGCTCCCCGTCCGACCAGAAACAGACCCGAGCGTACGGCGCGTAGCGTTCCGCGCGCGCCTCAAAGAGCCATCAGACCACCACAGATGGGGCCCAATAGGGCCGATGCCGATTCGGAGTCGCGGAGAACCTAACGGGTAACCGGGGCTCCGGCTCGACGTGCAGGAGAAGGAACGGGGTGGTTTTTAGTCAGTAAGAGTCTGACACTCCCTTCCGCCTCACCCAGGCGGGAGCAGTCATTCGATGATTTTCCCCCCTTAAAAAAAAGCCTTAAACAAATTGCAGCGCGGAACGTGGTGTCGTCCAACAAAGTTCCTAGGTTAGACGAAGGTAAGTTTTGGTTTCTTAGTTTTGTTGAGGAAATTTTTGTTGTTTGGCAAGTGATTTTGTTCAAAATAAAAATATTGTTTTATGTCTACACTCATATTTATCATTACGAGTTCATCAGATAAATAATAATAAATATATATATAACAAGACTGAGTTTTATTAACTGATGGAGTTTTTGGTCATTCCCGAGTATTTCAGACATTGAGCTTCATTAGTGAGATTTAAGTTTGTGACAAAAACTGATTTTTAATGTATTGTTTTAAGCACTCTCAATTTTGGTGGACAAACATCAATTTTGGTGGTTGCGCTAGTCTTTCAACTCAAATATCTCAAAAAGTTACCGGGATATTGTCAGACCTCATGAAGATTCCTAAAGCTTGAGCCTTCTATTTTTGTACCAGGTCAATAGTTTTCACGAAAAGTAAAGAAAAAATTTCGCCACCAAAATTGACAAAAATATGCACTTGTTGATATTCACCCTAGTAAGGATTAAGTTGAAAAAATACCTACTTACCTTCGGCAATGTCTGTGTATCGGTCACAGGAAAATGTTACACGTTCCGTATCAGAATAACTCATTGTAGCGTAGTTGTCGTCTGTAACTGAAAATATAAAAAAGTAGGTGAAGATCTTTTGCAGGCAGATTGTATAATCAGCCGTATTAGGCCCGGCGCCCACTATCGGCATCGGCAAGAAAAAGGATCCTTCGGCATCTTACATGCAAGCGCACACACGGACGGAGACTATGATTTTGCGTGATGGAACGTTCTTAGGGATGAAGAGGTATCCTGAAGCATGCCGCACCGTCCTAAAGCATGCCGAAGCGTCTCAATATCGTATTTCTCGTTGACCAAATATTGGTATTACATTGTTGTCACATAATTGAACTCAACGAAAGAATGTAACCAAAAATTGTATTGTGAACATGATTGGAAAATTGACCTATGGAGTTTCTTGCTCGTTCTTCTCCATAGGACTCTACACCTTGGAACGAGCAAATAGCGCAACTAGAGGACTGACCTACAGACTGACATTTTTTCTTATTATTAATTATTTAATATTTTGTTGTTGACGTTCAAAAGTGCCTTCCTAGTCTAATTGAAATAAATGATTTTGACTTTGACTTTGAACAGGCTCAGAGTTGTTACAAGCTAGTTGTCTGAATTGTATTTAATATGGTGGACTGGGATCTAGTGCTCATAACAGCTCTTGCTGAAGAAGAAGAGAAATCTAATCAATCAATCGGCGGCCGGAGGATGCCGAAGCATCCCAAAGCAACCCGAAGGATTCCCAAGGCTGCCGATATAAAGAAAAAGAAACAAAGAAAGAAAAATCATTTATTCAGCACCAGGCACTATGCAGCGTAAATAAAATATAAAAAAGACAATAAAGGTGTGACAGTGGAAGTAATAAAAACATTGAGTTGAAAAATTAAAACAGAAGAATTAGAAGAGAGACGCTGACAACATGTCTATGCTAAAATGATACAGCAGCCTTAAGCATAGCTAGGCGGTATTTTTGTTCTTACGACCATATGCACGGCAATTTCTACTTTACTGCCATTATAACATAACATACCATCACACATTTTATCCCTGAAGGGCTACCCCTTATTCGGTAACTGAGGTTTTACCGCTCTCGCCATTAAATTGGCCGCCACCTGGTGCGACCTCCCGTGCGCTAGCACCTTTGTGTCACCAGCGTCAGCTCACGCTAACGCCGTCCGGAAGGTAAATGCGCAGTCATAACCGATGTTTCACAGGAGCGGCCCATAAACCGAACCCTGTGGAACACCGCTCGACTTCTCTCGCCGGTTCCTCTCGCCTTGGTGACCGGGGTATATGACGAACCTGTCCGTCAGGCAGGCCTCGATTACACGACGGAGGAAAGTACGCAGGTTTCAAGAGACGGTGTCCACCTTTTATTTAACATCCTACCTCGTGTGTTCATAAGTTTTGAGACAAACTTTTTGCTTATAAAAATAAAATAAAAATTACTGGCTGCTGTATATTTCTTTTTCTAATTTTGAATTTGGAATGTTAACTTTTAATATCTATGATTTCGGATTATTTTATTTAAATTTTCTCGTAATGGAGGGAACAAAAGAATTACGTGCGATCGTCATTTCATTATTTAAGGTGGGAAGAAAACCTATGGACATATTTTCCGAGAACTGAAAAGTTTTGGTGTGAGCCGTAACTTCGTGTATTACACTATTAAACGATACCAGGAGACAAGTTCTTTACATGATCGGCAAAGAAGTGGTCGTCCACGCTCTGTGAGGACGCCTGCGAACATTAAAATCATCCGAGAGCGACTTCGCCGAAATCCATGTCGCACTCAGAAGAAACTCGCTCTGCAGACCAATATTTCGCGCGTTTCAGTCAACAGAATACTGAAATATGATCTCAAGGTTAAGGCGTATAGCCGTAGAAAAGTACACTTTTTAAACGATCGCCTTCGTCAATTGCGACGCGAACGTTGTCCAATACTGCTTAGGAGACACGATGCGAGGAAGATACTCTTTACCGACGAAAAAATCTTTACCGTCGAATAAAAGTTCAATCGACAAAACAATAAAGTGTATGCCAAAAGTAGCAAGGATGTCCCACCTTCAGCACGAAATGTCTCGCGTACTCATCATCCGGTTAGTGTCATGGTATGAAGGGGAGTTTCGTACGAAGGTGTCACTCAGCTTCATTTCTGCCAACAAGGCGTCAAGGTGAAAGCCAAAAATTATCAAAGTGACATTCTAGAGACTGTTATGAAACCCCTGTCTAATACCCTATTCCATAACAAGTATTGGGTTTTCCAGCAAGACTCGGCGCCATCCCATAAGGCTAAAACCACCCAAGCTTGGCTGAAGGAAAATGTGCCGGCCTTCATTGCGGCGAACGAATGGCCCTCCTCCAGCCCCGACCTCAACCCGCTGGATTATTCTCTACTAGCTTTTACCCGCGGCTTCGCTCGCGTCACAAAAGGATAAAAAGTTGCCTATGTGACTATCCATCCCTTCAATTACTTTCAGTTAAAAAATCACGTTAAGTACCTTCGTTTTGTTTTACTTTATAGAACAACATCTATACCTAGAAAAACAACACTTGAATATTCAAACCTACAGAGCGAACGAATACTAATCAATTAGGGTGGTAGATGCGTACACCGAAATACGATTGCTATGGAAGCTCGGAACCTATACTTTCGCCGGTAACGAAACCATAGCGCCATCTAACTCGATCCTAACGCCATCTATCGAGCGTTAAAACAACAGCGTACAATATAATTGCTAATTGTTGAGTATTGTAGCCACTGATTTCGTGTACCTTTAACAACCTAAAATCTCTTAAATACGCAATTTAATGTAAAATGGTAGGAACCAAAATTTAAAAACGAAAAATACTTAAAAAACACAACGTTACCACGTTTTTAAAATGACATATAAAACAGAAAATAAATGAGTCGAAAAGTGCACCGAATAATTGTAGATAGCGCCATCTATCGCCAAGTAGCGTAACTACTTCATAGACACCAATTTCGTGTATCTTTAACAACCTAAAATTTATCAAACACACAATTCAATGTAAAATGGTAGGAACCAAAATTTAAAAGCGACAAATACTTAAAAGACACAACGTTACCATATAAAACAGCAAATAAATGAGTCGAAAAGTGCACCGAATTAGTGTAGATAGCGCCATCTATCGCCAAGTAGCGTAACTACTATATAGACACCAATTTCGTGTACCTTTTACAACCTAAAATCTATAAAATACACAATGCAATATAAAATGGTAGGAACCAAAATTTAAAAGCGAAAAATACTTAAAAAACACAACGTTACCATATAAAACAGCAAATAAATGAGTCGAAAAGTGAACCGAATAAGTGTAGATTGTGTGAAATTTCCAATTAGTAGGTAATTCGTTGAATTGTTTTGAATGGCATACAGCGCCATCTATACGAATACACACAGCGCCATCTATACCAATACTTTTGTTTTTCCTCGGAAATATCAATTTTTTTTGGGTTAAAAAGTATCATATTATTTAATCCGGACTTCTAACTTTACGTCTGCAAAAATTCAAAGCAATCGGTTGAGTAGTTACGGCGTGATGGTGGAACAAACAAACAAACAAACAAACTCACTTTCAGATTTATAATATTAGTAAGGATTCAGATTTATAATATTAGTAAGGATGGACCGAATTAGAGCTCAGAGCCTGCCGAAAGTCCCACCCAAACTTGGAGTCACTTAAGCGAGCTCTTGTCCGAGAAGCGAAGCGAATTCTTCTGGAAAAGATTCGTGCCGCCATTGATGACTGGCCAAATCGTCTAAGGGCATGTATTAAAAACAGGGGTGGTCATTTTGAATAATAATTATATTTAATTTTTACTTACTATCTACTTAATGTTTGTTATCTATATATATATATAATTCAAGGGTGATTGACTGACTGACTGACTGACTGACATAGTGATCTATCAACGCACAGCCCAAACCGCTGGACAGATTGGGCTAAAATTTGGCATACAGATAGATGTTATGACGTAGGCATCCGCTAAGAAAGGATTTTGATAATTTCCACCCCCAAGGGGGTAAAAAAGGGGATGAAAGTTTGTATGAAACTTTGTCAGTTTTAACCGATCGGGTTGAAATTGTAAAAATAAAATGTCGTGGTGGCCCGGAGGAAATGTCGTGGTGGCCCGGAGGTTTAAGACGCCCCACTTCTCATGCATGAGGGTGCGGGTTCGAAACCTACCATCGGCAAGTACCAATGTGACTTTTTCCGAGTTATATGTACTTTCTAAGATTATTTAGACACCACTGACAAACGGTGAAGGAAAAACATCGTGAGGAAACCTGGACTTATAATTTCTAATTATAAGTTTGAAATCGCCAACCCGCATTGAGCCACCGTGGTGATTAATGCTCTAACCTTCTCCGTGTGAGAAGAGGCTTTGCTCAGCAGTGGGCATTTATAGGCTGTTGATGATGGGTTGAAATTTGGCATGCAGATAGATGTTATGACGTAAGCATCCACTGTGAAAGGATTTTGATAATTTCCACCCCCAAGGGGGTAAAATAGGGGATGAAAGTTTGTATGAGACTTTGTCAGTTTTAAACCGATCGGGTTGAAATTTGGCATGCAGATAGATGTTATGACATAAGCATCCGCTTTGAAAGGATTTTGATAATTTCCACCCCCAAGGGGGTAAAATAGGGGATGAAAGTTTGTATGAGACTTTGACAGTTTTAAATCGATCGGATTGAAATTTGACATGCAGATAGATGTTATCACATAGGCATCCGCTAAGAAAGGATTTTGATCATTTCCAACCCTAAGGGGGTCAAATAGGGGGTGAAAGTTTATATGAAGCTTTGTCAGTTTTACACCGATGCAGATGAAATTCGGCATGCAGGTAGATGTTAGGCCGTAAGCATCCCCAAGTAAGGATTTTGATTATTTCCACCTCCAATGGGGTAATGTAGGGGATGAACGTTTGTATGAAGCTTTGTCATTCTTACACCGATCGGGTTGAAATTCGGCGTGCAGGTAGATATTATGACGTAAACGTCCCTTTAGAAAGGTTTTTGAACATTCTCACCCCAAAGTGGGTAAAATAGGGGGTGAAAGTTTGTATGATACTTTGCCAGTTTTAAATTGATCGGGCTGAAACTTTGCATGCATAAAGTTACTATGACATAGGTATCTTTTTAGAAAGGATTTTTATAAATTCCACTCCTAAGGGGATAAAATAGGGAATGAGAGTTTGTATAAATCGTCTTAGCCATTGAATTTAGATTCATTGAATCTTTTTGAATTACATTCGGTGAACGATGATTTGGGACCTAGGTAACGTTTGATAGTTTCTATCACAGATGTCCCACGGGAACGAGAAATATGCGTCAATGCCCCGGGACTCTCTAACTCTTAACCACTGAACTTATTTTAGAGAGATTCGGTACAACAATAGTCGATAGAATAGTTTTTATTACTCAAACCTTACGTGATCGGGCACTGTACTGGTAAGATCCCTGCGGGATTATTTATTTATTGAAACTACGATAAATCATTTCAAAATAGGTAAATCTTACTTGGGCACTGAATTGATTCTGATTAATTCTGTCAGAAGTCATTAATCTACGCGGACGAAGTCGCGGGCAACAGCTAGTTGTTTTTATAAATATAAGTTTATTATTTAAAAAGTTATGCAACTTTTAATTTGTCTCAAAACTTATGAACACACGAGGTAGATTTCCAGGGTGCCACCTGAAAATCAGCGTTGGGCTGGAACGCTCATCTATATGCTGAGGTGGAGGCCCTTTTGGCATGTGCAATAAATAGGTATATGTACGTCTTGGTAACCTGTGCCTTTAGCGCTTGTCTACAGAGAGAGTAGAAATCAAAATGTATGGGGATGACATTGACAAGTGTCAAAAGGAGAATGGCAGGTTTGTATGGAAGTTTTGTACCGCTATAAAATTTTGTATTAGTCATTGTTTTAACCAAGTGAATAGTCTGAACGATAGATATTTTTATTATGAAGTTTAGAAAAAAATTACATATTTTTAGAACTTGGGGTTCAAAAGTTATTTCACTTTGAAAATGTGCAAAAGGTATGTTAAGGTGGTACCACACTTGACATTGCGTAGTCGCTTCATTTGTCCAAATATTTGTAGACTACGTACAAATGGCGTCCAAATAGTATCTCTATATGTAATGGCGTGCAAATATATAGCAAACAAAGAAGAATAAATCCTCCAAACATGTTCTTTTTTGGCCGAACACAACAAATACGCAACGTCAAGTGTAGAGCCACCGTAAGCAAAATATCTATTACAAATGACAGATGACAGTTAACTGAAAAATGTCAATGTGCTCTCATGTGGTTGTTTATTTACAAAAAACAAAAATCTAAAAATACTGCTCGCTACTCAAGTGACTATTACACTTTGTATTATTAGAAAGAAAGAAAGAAAGAAAAACCATTTATTTTGCTACGACACACAACAAGAATTTAGAAACCCAAAAAATAACCTATGGTGCGTCGCAGCGCAAAAGGCAATTAGGAATGATCCTGTTAATTCAGCAAGCATGATGCACCTATAGAGTTTTAAAGAGTATGCCTCACAATCTTTTTCATTTCTTAGGTGCCTACGAAAATGCAAATTCATAATGTAAGCGACTGTCATTGGGTAGAAGGCCTACATTTAGCAGTGGAAGTCTTGTGGCGGATATGATAAAACTAATGTCTCACTTCACCTTGAATCTTGCAGGTAGATAGTCTCAAGGGTCTCAAGTTAATTCGATTTAAACTTAGCTTAGCTCTTTGAGAAAGTATTTCTTCTGAAAACTGGTTGCTTAGCACGCATGTAAGGATTAATTTCTAATAAGTAAGTCAAATTAGTAGAATCATCAACATTTTCATCATTAAGTCTATAAGTGGCCACTGCTGACCGAAGCCTCTTCTCGCATGGAGGTTTGAGCATTAATCACCATACTAGCTCAATGTGGGTTGGTAATTCAAACTTATAATAAGAAATTATAAGCCCATGTTTCCTCACAATGTTTTCCTTCACCATTCGTCAGCGGTGTCTTTGTACTTTCTTAGATTATTGAATATACCAATAACTCGGAAAAAAGACACATTGGACAAAAGGTACTTTGCCGTTGGTAGGTTTCGAACCCGCACTCTCATGCATGAGAAGCGGGCTTCTTAAACCTCTGGGCCACCACATTACAACTAAAGAAAATGTAAAATGAAAATGAACATTTTTGGTATAAAACTAAAGCTATCTAAATTAAATATGGCATTTATTTTATAGATTGATTCTTAAAATCACTTTTATCAAGATGGAATATATAGTTACTTACTAGGTTAAAATAAAACAAATGTATTATTTTGAAATACTTTTATTTCATTGTATTCAGGTTGTTTCTAGGAGTACTTCATCTAAAAAGAGAACAGGCCGTGTCATAGGTACAGCAGACATCAATTGCTGATATCTGTAAACAAGTAAGATAACTGTAAATAAAGTAAACAAAAGTACATTTTTTTCCTTTAGTTTTATATGTTATAATAATAAGTCTGATTCCCTATCTTAAAATGGAAAAGATAAAAATAAATATTTGATTACATTACTTCATTTTATAACATTTATTATAGTTATTCGTATAACACAGATCATAGGAGCTCAAACAGCATGCTAATTAATAAATTATAATTATAACATGAGTATAAACCTATTAGAAACCGCTTATATACTCCACATAGATACATAATTATGTAGGTACATTATATTGAGAATGCATACCTGTTGAAGCTTTGAGAGCCGAACAACATCATCCGGCCTCATCTGTTCTACAAATGGCAATGTTAAAGTGAGGCTTAGTCCATGTTTACATAATACATTACTTCCTGATAGTGAACACTGTGAGGTGGTATGTCAGGTTGTGGTTTTATAGTTTCGACTCTTGTACGGTCTCTCAGTCAGTATGGAACATGATCTTCATCATGGGAAGTAAGCTAAAATAAGTAATATTATTAGAATATGATATTGACTTTAGATTACACTGTATATAGATAATAGTATGGTTAAATTATGCTTTATTACCTCTTGTGGCTGAATCCAATCAAATACTATATGAGCCAGTCTTTACTCCTGTTTGTTGGCGCCTTCAATTAAAACCCTGCGTCACCTTATCATTGCAATGAATCACCCATATACGACACAAACATGCCAATTTGTTTGCTGGACATACTTTCAGCAACATCCCGATACATTGCTAATTGCCAGCAAGCATTGCAAATATGGTCGGTAGGAGAGATCTAGAATAAAAAGAATAAAATGATACATTATGGGTAGATAACACTATGCGCCTTCTTTTATTCAGGCAACATGGTGACTTTCGATATGTTATGGGTAAACTAGGTACTTACATCTCTAGGATAAGTCCACATTGGGATATTGTTGACCACGTCTAATCTTCACTCTCATTTTCTAGAGCATGCCGTCTCATGTGCGACAAACTCTGAATGCAATTAATACACTGTAAATTCATCATCGCGACAAATAACAACACACTGCACAAAATAATGTAAATAAGTGTCTTTTCGCAATTGTCACAACAATGATGCCAATAATACCAATTTGGGCTACGGAGGAACGGTTGCCAAACTCAACGTATCACCAGATGAATAAAATAACTTCAAATTCAACAAACACATCATAACATCGCATTTGAAACAAACAGCAATGCGCCAGTATTGACAAATTAATTGTCAATGTCATCAAGACAAATGCCAGTTCAACATTGCCATAATATTCAAGTTTGTTAAAATGTTAATTATCATTAATAATCCATGTAAACGTAGATTTAGATTGGATGTAGATTTTTATATTTACTTATAAAAATGTTTGAAATGGAAAGGAAAATATTTCATTGATAGATATTAAAATAAATGAGTTTATGAAATAGCGAAATTCAATATGCTCTGATTTCATCTTTACGCATGGCAACTTTGTAAACGTCAATCGCGGTTCGTTTTACGTATAGTGGATTGCTTTTTATCATTATTGAATATCAGTTTTCCTAGGGTTTCCCAAGTTTTAAAAATCTATTAAATATGCTAACATAACGTACTTAGGAGGTTCTATAATGACCTAATTTTTTAATGACAAATCTTTTTTAGCGAAGCGGTACAAAATCTGCCGTTCTCCTTTACGTCAATTCCATATAATTCGGTTTTCTATTCTACATGTAGACAAGCGCTAAATGGCATTTGGCACAGCTGCTGATTTTGACGTACCTCTTTCACTTCATTTACTAGATTAGTACATTTTTAAATCTCTTCGTGCATGTTCGTCGTCTGTAGTTGTTTTTAATAATAGTTAATTATACTTATACAATTATATGTAGGTACTCACCTATATCTTTTTCGGTGATCTCAAGATAACAAAACAATTCTCCTTTGTCATAGCCGAGGTAATTTTTCACGTTAGCAACTATTGCACTATTTAAATCGAATCGTTCTATTCTTATGGTGAATACGATTTTTTTTTCATTAATTGCAATATAACTGCCAATAGTATTAGATGCTGAAAAAAAAAATCAGCTCTATCAGTTAAATTCGACTTCACATCCATAAAAAATGTACAGCTTAATAAATTATTATGTTTTCGGCTTACTTACGTAATAATTTGACGAGGAACTCGACTAGTACGAGTAGCAGCGACAGTCGTCGCGTCGCGTGTCGCGAAATGCTGCTCATGAATATGAGCCTCTAGCATGGCTTGAAACTAGTCGAGTTCCTCGTCAAATAATTACGTGAGTAAGCCGAAAACATAATAATTTATTTAGTATGTCTCACGAAAGTTACAATAGAAATAATGTACAGCTTGGCAGAAAGGAGTTTGGAGTAATAGAGGTCGCTAGTATCGTGCCTGTGGCAACCTGGTACACTACGACTCCACAACCAATTTTGATATTTGTTATATCGAGTTAAAAAAGAGGAGGTACTATGTTCGGATGATTGTTTATTCACGGGATATGATCCGAAGTGGGTGATTCAGTCCAAGTTAAAATTAGTTCCAGTTATCATCGCGTCAAACTCTTTTTGCCAAATTGTATATAAATTGCAAGTGTGTATTACTTAAGTGTGGGAGAGCCATGCTTCGGCACAAATGGGCCGGCTCGACCGGAGTGATACCACGGCCGAGCAGAAAACCGACGTCAAACATCGCTCGCGTTCTGTTTCGTCGTGAGAGTGAGGTTACCGGAGGCCCATTTACCCTCTCTCCCTTTCCCCAATCGTCGAATCCCCAACAATCCTCAAACTCCTAATCCCCAAAAGGCCGGTAACGCACTTATAACGTCTCTGGTGTTCTATGCGTCCATGGGCGACGCCGATTGCTTACCATCAGGTGATCCATCTGCTCGTTTACCGGCTTATGCCTTAAAAAATGAACTTACTTGTTGTATACATTTGGTACACTGTATAATGGAAGTTTGTAAGTTGGTCATCTAATTTACAAATATATTTATTTAAGTCAGCAATGCTACGTTCCCACTTTACTGAAAATAAAATATTATTGTCGATCAATAATCAATAGCTACCAACACAACTCGGTAACTTAGAACTTAGAAGTCTACAACGGCAAGTTACACTTAAATGGCGCACTAGCAAAGTAAAGTGCTCACTTGTAGCATATCAATACTGCGACACTCAGTTATATAAAAACGTACGGTCAAAGGTCAAAAGTTAAAAAGAATAAAAAGTAGCCTATGTGACATATACCAATACACACAGCGCCATCTATACCAATACCTTTGGTTTTTCCTCGGGAATATCATTTTTTTACGGGTTAAAAAGCACCCTATTATTTAATCCGGACTTCTAACTTTACGTCTGCAAAAATTCAAAGCAATCGGTTGAGTAGTTACGGCGTGAAGGTGGAACAAACAAACAAACTCATTTCCAGATTTATAATATTAGTAAGGAAGTAAGGATAAACATGTCAGTCAGTCAGTCAGTTACTCCTTTAGTGAAGTTATTTGTTGGTCACAAACTATACACAGCGAAATCTCCATCAATTCTCTAGACGATTGAGTCTCTGAATTTCGTATATTCTGCAATATTGTCACCTCTCGTGGCATCCTTACTAATATTATAAATCGGAAAGTGAGTTTGTTTGTTCCACTTTCACGCCGTAATTACTCAACCGATTGCTTTGAATTTTTGCAGACGTGAAGTTAGAAGTGTGGATAAAATAATAGGGTACTTTTTATTCCGGAAAAATTTATATTCTCGAGGAAAAACTAAATTATTGGTATAGATGGCGCTGTGTGTATTGGTATACATATGTCACATAGGCTACTTTTTATCCTTTTGTGACGCGAGCGAAGCCGCGGGTAAAAGCTAGTCGATAATAAATACGTCAGTGGTACGCGGATCCTAACTAAAAATCGCGGATTACTCACGTGAATACATTCAGTCAAAAAAGTATCGGGAATGGATGATTTGTTTATGGTTCCAAATTCAATTTTTTGTTTTTTTTTTTGTGTAGTGTTTAGATTGGCGCAACTGTTTTCCATTTTGGCGCGGAGTTTTGTTTCTGTTATTTATATTAAATTATAGTGCTGGTTTTAGTAATATCATAATTATAATATAGTGTGTAATGCGAATTTCATAATGGATATGCGTCTTTGCACAAGGCTATCATTGTGAACGAATTTTTGACCAAACACTCAAGAAATACCATCCAGAAACCACCATATTCACCAGATAAGGCTCCTGCTGACTTTTTTCTTTTTCCTAAACTCAAATTACCACTTCGTGGCACCCGTTTTCAATCGATAGAAGACATAAAGGAGAATTCGCGGCGAGAACTGAACTCAATTTCGGAAGCAGCGTTTAAAAAATGTTTTGATGAATGGATTATTCGTTGGCGCAAGTGTATCGTTTCTAAAAGAGCATACTTTGAAGGTGATAAAATAAATTTGGATGAATAACAGACATTTTGTGTATTATTGATCTTCTCCTGGTACTTTCTTGACAGATTAGCATACTGAGAAAAGCTCTACTCGTTTCGAACCACACCTCACAGATAGGGTTGCCACCTTTTTCTTTGGTATTTAAAGTACATTGACGATTTGCATCTTTACATCTTTACTAGAAATTGTCTAAGTGGCGCTGGCGAGTTATGGATTCAACATAACTAAATCGATAAATATCGATATCGAATCGATAAATTTACCGATAAATACTTACGACTTTAATAGAAATGAAGTTTGCAAAAATAAAGTATTTTCGTGTACTTTATTATTCTTATAAAGTATAGAGTACAATTACCTTAAATAACGTACAATACTTTATTATAAAGTACGGGTGGCAACCCTACTCACAGAGTAGGGTGCGCAACATCGCCTCGGCGGCACACGCTGCTCATGAGGAAGGACTCCTCTGTGGTTCGAAACAAGTAGAGCTTTTCTCAGTATGTTCACGTGAGTAACCCGCGATTTGTAGTTAATTGTGTATTTATACTTCAAATAATTTTATTATATTCAGTCGGTGCTCCGCCTTCATTTCCTGAATCGCTGTCGAGCACTACGTTTAGTTCGGTCCTAGTTTCAAGTCACATTAGGACTCATTATTCACTAGCTACTTCCGCGCGATCTCACACGCTCTGCTCAACTCCTATTGGTCGTAGCGTGATGTTTTATAGCCTATAGCCATCCTCGATAAAAGCGCTATCCAACACAAAAAGAATTATTCAAATCAGACTTGTAGTTATGGAGATTAGCGCGTTCAAACAAGCAAACAAACAAAAAAACAAACTTCCGCTTTATATAATAGTATAAGATATAAGATGAGCATAATACGCGTGCGCAATGCAGCAACGTTGCGTCGACACTATGCATCTTGCTGTTTTTCTTGTTCATTTTACGTGTGTAGGTAAGCTGTTGTTTTGACTCCTGCCTGGCTGCCTATCCGGTAGCGGCTGGCAGTTTAAAGACATACCCGGGACTTTTCGTCGGTGACTGTGCACTTATGCAATCAAACAAAAATAACAAAGACTTACTACTTTTATGGCATGGCTTTCGAAGATCCACTTGCAGTTGACGGTAGATATTGATTGGGGCTCCTGGAATATACAATACAATGGAATATACAACCTTTTCGCCTGTGGAATTTTATATTTATGATGTGTACCTATTTTAAAAACGCGAGATCTATTGTTTAAAGTTAAAATTTCACTGCCTGCCCATTTAATTAAAGTAAAGATTAATTTAATAGTCAGTCGTGGTGGCCCGGAGGTTTAAGACGCCCGCTTCTCATGTGACCTTTTCCGAGTTATATGTACTTTCTAAGATTATCTAGACACCACTGACAAACGGTGAAGGAAAACATCGTGAGGAAACCTGGGCTTATAATTTCTAATTATAAGTTTTACATCGCCAACCCGCATTGAGCAAGCGTGGTGATTAATGCTCAAACCTTCTCCGTGTGAGAAGAGGTTTTGCCCAGCAGTGAGCACTTATAGGCTGTTGATGATGAAAGATTAATTGTATTTAAATGTTTCACTGTTAGTTTGTTATTCCTGCAAAGAGAATCGTAAATACATCCTACATATATATATACATAGGATTTGTAAAATTTGGTTCCGCGTTCCCGATCTCAGCGCTCAGATAGTATACACTAAGGAATCGTAGATTTAGAAAATTACGATGCGAATAGCTGCGATACGATTTCGTGCGACAAGGCGTCTCCCAGGGTGACCATTCCTGCGACGACCGTCAACCGTACTAAACGTATTTTAAATTGAAAACTAGCTCGTGACATGGATCGTAAAAACAAGTGTGCACTTCTGTTATTGCTTAGGAGATACAGACAAAGAAGATTTTGGGAAGATAAGATTTTGATGCGCGATGCGAATCAATTCACAAGTTCTAGCGATGCGTAGAGGGAGCTCGCACATTTTTGCGATGCGACGTCGCATCGCAGTTTTGTGTACGAGCCCTTTTTTTTAAGGGGCGAAAATCATCCTATTACTTCTCCCGCCCGGGTGAGACTCTTACTGACTAAAAACCACTCTGTTTCTACTCCTGCACTTCGAGCCGGAGCCCTGATAACCCGTTAAGTCTTCCGCGGCTCCGTATCGGCATCAGCCCTGTTGGGCCCCATCTGTGGTGGTCTAATAGCTCCTAGAAGCGCGCGCGGTACGCGACGCGCCGTATGTTCGGGCCTAGTTCTGGTCGGGCGGCGAGTCACCCGTGCTCGCCTCACTATGTATTTCATTTGCATGTTTAAATGGTAAAATATGGCTGAACCCGTATTTTTATGTCACCTGTAATTGTTACCCATATTTGCAAAATAAAAGTATCTTTATCTTTATCGCCGTCCGCAGACCCGTGCTTATGGTGGCCGGAGATCGTCTCGCGATCTCCGACGCCCGGGCGACGGCCGGGGCATGAGGAGGTTTGATAAATAGTTTAATGTTGCTCGCGGGCTAGGATTAGTGTTTTAAATTATTTTTGTGACATAATTAACATAACATCATCATCTTGTTGAACCAGTAAATGTTGTGGTTACCTGTAATTGTTTGTTACACATAGGCTCATTCCTCTTTGCTTGCTTGTATTATGCTTACTGTAGTTGTGTAATCAAATGTTGGTAACTCTTAATAAATAAATAAATAAATAAATAAATAAAAATCCTTACATCACGCCTTTTATCCCCGAAGGGGTAGGCAGAGGTGCATACAGAAGTAACACCCACTTTTCACTATTTATGTTATGAGCCCCATGTAATAGGGGGTGAGCCTATCGCCATATACCGGTCAATACTCCAGACTGTGCTACTACTGAGATTTTAAAAAAACCCAGATCTACTTTGTCCGACCCGGGAATCAACCCCCGAGACCGCTTGCCCGGCAGTCGCACTTGCGACCACTCGGCCATCGAGGCGGCATTAGGTGGTTTACCTATTTAAATTGAAAAAAAGATACCATTAAAACACTTACTATAGAGGTACTTCGTCATTGTTACTTCCATCAATCGGTGCATACATATGAAACTGTTATAATGTACATGCATGTCAATTTGTATTGATTCTTTTAGCCAATCAACGTATTTGAAGACATTAGCGTCACTCCCAGTTTGCAAGGCTGAATAATGTAGAAACCATCCTGTAAAAACATCAGTTATCTATTACAACACATTTTGACGTAACATTACACAGACAGGGGGCTTACTCTTAAATCCAATAGGGTAGACGACTAATTTTTATATTAATGTCCGTCTGATAGATTATTTAAAAACATTAGACACGTATTTTTTCTTTTCTCACAGAAACGAATAGTTTCGAAGATATATTGATTTGAAATGTCGCGTGACGTCACTTCTCAGTACATTTTATACTAAGAAATGACGTTTTAGCCCCCACTCTTAAACTTTGATTCGTTTTATCTAAGTATTGTTTTATTATACGACAAAATAAAAAAATACGTGTCTAATATTTTTTCATTACCTAACTTACGGACTAATTATATTTTTAATTTTCATACCCTGTCATCATCCCCATTCCGATCGATCGACATTGGTATTGTGAAATTTCGTACTCTTGAGTTGCAACACTAGCGCCCATTGCTTCCGTATTACGTGGATATTGAATGAACTAAATGGTATTAGTTTGTTTTTATATTCCGTACTCTGAATGCTATTTTAACAGCTACGAGGCGCGTTGTATATTTTTGACATTGGATAATTATTGTGTGAAAGGACAATGTCCAAAATGGCCCTGTGCAATAAAGAGTATCAGAATATATGATAATTAATCCCCTATTTTATTATATAAGTTGCAAATACTTCTGTATCACGGACTAGCTGTATTCCAAAATGTACTTTTAATAGAATTTAACGCGATAAGTAACATTAGATCGCCATTTTCGCCTATTATCAAATACCTTCGCCTAATGTAATCCTTACTAATATCCTTACTAATATTATAAATCTGAAAGTGAGTTGTTTGTTTGTTTGTTTGTTCCACCTTCACGCCATAACTACTCAACCGATTGCTTTGAATTTTTGCAGACGTAAAGTTAGAAGTGCGGATTAAATAATAGGGTACTTTTTAACCCGGAAAAAATTGATATTCCCGAGGAAAAACAAAAGTATTGGTATAGATGGCGCTGTGTGTGTTGGTATATGTCACATAGGCTACTTTTTATTCTTTTGTGACGCGAGCGAAGCCGCGGGTAAAAGCTAGTAGATAAATAAATCAGCAAGGCCCATCTCCTGTCGTGTTGAAAGTGAAATAGGGATGTCCAATCAATTATAATCGATATTTTGTTTCTTTATGAATGCTGTTATACTCCAATTTAAATAGGTAGTAAATACAGTAATACAATAATCAAAACCTCTTTAATTCTATACAATCATTCAATCATTCAACATTCGTTCAAATATTAGTTGTTATGGTTAGATTATTACCTCAAAATCTGATATTGAAATATATCTTTTTTGCAGCTAGTCCGCTATAAAAACAAGATCTTCTAGGAGTCTACAAATGATAGAGAATGCAATACATATTTATCCGAGGGATATTATAAATTGCATATCAAATAAATAATCGCCTATCAATACATACTCATCATTTATATTCTTTTTTACATCAAATAACTTACTTCATTACAAACAAATGAAATGTTCTACAAAACTCAAACTGCAGATAATTCGAAATTATACATCAATACGACAATCCTTTTTTCCTTATAATGCAATACGGTTATATTTGTTTTTGTACAAAAATACTACATACATAGCATAAATACTGACTGCACAGCAATTTTGGGCACCCCGAAACATTTGGTTAGGTTAGGTTAGAACTGCGACCCTCACAAGGCGCGAGGCGAGCGAGCGTAGCGAGCGGTGCCGCGGTAGCGGCCGCCGAGCGTTATATCACTAATTGCTTTTCAAATCTTTTCATACCATTTAGCCGTTTATATTAAAAATATTAGTTTAAATAAAATAAGTGAATTTAAAATGCTGCTTTATTTAGAAAAACTGTTGTCAATAATTTAAAAATAGAAGCTATATTTAAAAGAAAAAGAGTTTACCTATATAATGTGCATTAAGATTATTAGCTGTGCATTAATGAAAGCTTTTGCTTTAGGCAAAATCGTTGTACGCTGCGAAAATAAATTGTAGTGTGTTTAGTAATATTTTGAGTTAAATATTTTGCTGTGCAATCAGTAATTTTGATGGGAATTCGGAATCTTATTGCAAAGAAAAAGGATATTTTTTGATATTCGTTTAAATACTACCCTTAATCCGATACCCTTGGCTACAGGGCCAGCAATTTATGGACACAGAGCTATGTCCTTTCATACTCTTGAGTTTTTTTTTTTATTATTACATTTCTTATTCTCCACGGACTCTTGTCCGTGCCCTTGTCATTCCATTACATTTTCTTTTAATTTACAGTCAAAATTAAATGACCCCCAATGTCATACTCTTGAGTTGCAACACTAGCGCCCATTGTATTGATATTGAAATTGAGCTTAGCTTCATATTCCGTACTCTGAATGCTATTTTAACAGCTACGATTGTGGTTGTATAGTGTATACATTGAATAATTATTAAGTTTTCATTGGATTGCAATTACATTGACATTGAGATTGGTTTCAAGAGTAAGCACCCAGATCGAAAAAGTTACAACAGGTTTTTTTATGGTATAAGCCGGTAAACGAGCAGACGAATCACTTGATGGTAAGCAATCGGCGTTGCCTATGGACACCTGGAACACCAGAGGCGTTACAAGTGCATTACCGGCCTTTTGGGGAATTAGGAGTTTGAGGATCGTTGAGGATTTAGAAATTGGGGAGATTGGGGAAGGGGAGAGTAATTGGGCCTCCGGTAACCTCACTCACACGACGAAACACAACGCAAGCGTTGCTTCAATCAGTTTTCTGTCAGCAGTAGTGTCCGACCGAAGGTGTATTATTGGCCGAAGCCGAAGCCGAAGGTTTATATTTTCTCAGCACTCAGTCAATTATTTTGTTCAATATTGTCTACAAGCTACAATTAATATTAAAATTATTTCAAAACCTCAATATTGAAGGTTTATATTGACTGTCTTATACAGAAGTTTATGATATATCAAAGAGATGGTTGGTTTAGAGATTAATAAAAGTTTGTGATTTACCTACTGGTAAAAGTAATCTTGTACATAAATCATTTCTTTATTATGAATAATTTCACAAATTACAATTAGTTCAATCGTTCGTTTAATCTCGGCAGTCGCTCGGACCTTCGGCTTCGGCCGGGCTTTGGGCCGAAGCCGAATGTTTTGCCGAAGGTGGACTTTTTGGCCGAAGGTGGCCGAAGCCGAAGCCGAAGCCGAAGCTTCGGTCGGACACTAGTCAGCAGTCAAACTGTTAATAATTTACTTACCATTTTTGTAAAATTCGATGGTGAAATTATTATTATTATCGAGCAAAAATTGTTTGTTTTCCAGGATGAACGTTATATGTAACATATCCCCCCAATTACATTGTAATGCAAACGGAGTATACGAATCTAACCAATGACCTGTAACAATATAAGGAGATCATCAACTCATTATTATAGCAGAGAGGGGGCCAGGCCGGGCGCGTTGCCTAAAAAATTGACTTGAAAGAAAGAAAAAACATTTATTTAGCACCAGGCACGATGCAGCATAAATAAAATAAAAATAGACAATCGAGATGTGACAGTGGAAGTAATAAAAATATAAGAGTTGAAAAATTAAAACAGAAGAATTAGAAAAGAGACGCTGACAACATGCTAAAAGGGTCACCCACTCAGTATAAGCCAGGCATACAGGTTACCCAGCACTGATTTTCAGTGGGCACCCATGCAGTGACGCACGACTTCAACCCCCTTTATTTTTTAACCCTATGAGTACCGTCATTATAGACACAATAAAAGAACAATAGGTTGCGGTCACCGGTGTCCTCGCGGTGTTTGACATTGACAGTTTAAGAGAGGGTTGATATCGGTTTTTTTAACCGCCGCGTTGGTCACCGGTGACCTACGTTAGCGAAGGATTTGCCTTCAGCAGTTTTCTGTTGGCAGTCAAAGGCTTAAAAATATAAATAGCAGTAGCCTACAAGTAACGGAAGAATTTCAAGCTACCGGTGGTCAGTGCTCCAGAGAGAGAGAGGAATTTCCGGACTATACGCGCCGTGTCCAGGAATACTGCTTTCTGCATCATTATTACATAACACCAACGCCTTTTATCCCCGAAGGGGTAATAGGTGTACATTTTGCCACCGTACAATGTAACATCCACTTTTCACTATTTATGTTATGAGTCCCATGTAATAGGGGGTGAGCCTATTGCCATATACCGGGCACAATTCCAGACTCCGTGTTACTACTGTGAATTTTTGAAAAACCCAGTAATACTTAATGCCCGGCAGTCGCATTTGCGTCCACTCGGGCAATGAGGCATTATTATTAATATTTAAAATAATATTTATAAGTATAGAAATATAAGTTCAAATTACCTGTGGCACCAGCTAACTGCATTGCCGTATAACTTGCGACGACATATAGGATCATAGTCATTTCTAAAACAAAAGAATCACGTCATAACTAATAATGACATAAAACTGCGACGATTCGGGAGAGACATGGTTCAGCACTTTGTGCTGCTGTACCGGCTCGACTGGAGGTATCATCATCAACAGCCTATAAATGCCCACTGCTGAGCAAAGCCTCTTCTCACACGGAGAAGGTTTGAGCATTAACCACCACGCTTGCTGAATGCGGGTTGGCGATTACAAACTTATAATTAGAAATTATAAGCCCAGGTTTCCTCACGATGTTTTCCTTCACCGTTTGTCAGTGGTGTCTAGATAATCTTAGAAAATACATTTAACTCTGAAAAAGTCACATTGGTACTAGCCGTTGGTAGGTTTCGAACCTGCACCCTCATGCATGAGAAGCGGGCGTCTTAAACCTCCGGGCCACCACGACCTTTTTTTCACTGGACTGGAGGTATACCGTGGCATAACTCCGGTTGGCCTCACAGGAAACAAGCGTAACTAACA